ACGGGAAACAGGACAGACACCTACCACTGAGGGCCTCTGAAAGACTCTACCCAGCAGTGTATCAAAGCAGATGCTGAGACTCATAACCAAACTTTGGGCAGAGTGCAGGAAATCTTATGAAAGAAGGGGGAGATAGAAAGACCTTGATGGGACAGGAGCTCCACAAGGAGAGCAACAGAACCAAAAAAATCTGGGCCCAGGGGTCTTTTCTGAGACTGATACTCTAACCAAGAACCATTCATAGGTATAACCTAGAGAACCCCTGCACAGATGAAGCCCATGGCAGCTCAGTGTCCAAGTGGGTTTCCTAGTAAGGAAAACAGGGACTGTCTCTGACATGAACTCAGTGGCTCACTGATCACCTCCCCCTGAGATGGGAGCAGCCTTACCAGGCCACAGAGGAAGACCTGATAAGCTGGGGTCAGATGGAAGGGGAGGAGGACCTTCCTGATCAATGGACTTGGAGAAGGGCATGGGAGGAGATGAGGGAGGGTTGGATTGGGAGGAAATGAATGGGGGTCTACAGCTGGGATACAAAATGAATAAACTGTAATTAATAAAAAAATTAAATTAAAAAAGTGAATAAATTATAATTAATAAAAAATGAATTAAAGGAAGAAAAATACATTAAAAAAAACTACTCTTATATCACACTGATGTATTATTTCTGACCTCTAAAGCAATGAGGCAATAAACATTTCTTGTTTAAAAAAAAAAAAAAAAAAAAGCATTACCAGTTTCCATTCACTGTTTGGTGACTGGGGCTCAGTTTTCTTTCTTCCATGAGCATTTATCGAGTGCCTTCTGTGTGCCAGGCCCCATGTTTAGTACGATAGGCACATTGCCTCACTTACTCCTCCAGGTCTGTGAGGAGGCGTCAGCATCCCCAATATTGCCAAATACCCTTGGGGCTATGCCGCCCTGGCTGACACCCTTGGCCTGCTCCCCCTACCTGCACAGAGACGCCAGCAGAGCAGAGATCTGTACTACGTTTACTGCCACATTTCAAGTACACGGTGGCCACGGGGCACCGACAAACAGCTGCTGGGAGAGGGGACTGAAACAACTCATTTTCAGTCGCAGGAACCAATGTTCAGAACAGGCAGAGTGGCTTGCCCGGTGTCACACAGCTGCTCCTTGGCAGGGCTGGAGTCTGACTCTACCATACGTCCAGCTCAAACATCTGTTCTCTAAGCCTGGTGTGGTGGCACACACCTGTAATTCTTTCACCTGGGTGGCAGAGGCAACAAAATCACGGCACCAGAATGGCCCAGACCAGGAAAAAAAGGACACCCCCTTCTTCTTCTTCTTCTTCTTCTTCTTCTTCTTCTTCTTCTTCTTCTTCTTCTTCTTCTTCTTCTTCTTCTTATTATTATTATTATTATTATTATTATTATTATTTTGATTTTGGTTTGTGTGTGGTGCGTGACACTGGAGCTAGGCTAGCCACCATTAAGCCCAATGGTCCTCCTGACTCCACTCTCAAGCAAATGTTGGGCTTACAAGCAATCACTCAGCCATGCCTCCCCCTACTAGGGCCCTACGCCTCGGGTGGGCCATCTTTCCAGCCCTATGCCTTTGTTTTCACCACAGTGTTTATCATGAAAGTTTGTCTGTGGACAAGAGGTCTGAGCTGGGGGGGTAGACTCGGGGTGGTGAACTGTGCACGCCTGGAGCGGTGGGTGGCAGCGCCGAGACCTCCCCAGACTCCCTCCCTGACAGCGTCCATCTGTCTCTGCCTGTCAGAACCTTCCTCGTGCCCATGAGGGCACCATTCCTTGGTCAAGTGCTCCATCAAGAAGGGGAGCCAGATGACCTCTTGGGAGTCAAGAGACAGAAAGAGCAATGCCCAGTCTCCAGGGCCTCCTGGCTGCATGCAGGCCCACGAGGAAGCTCCAGGCCAGTGGCCAGAGTTCTAGTAGAAGAGGAGCAGTGTGGGTGCAGGGAACTACAGGGAGCCAATCGAAGCCCTTCTTCTTGCCCATTTTCTGGCTGTGGAGACTGAGGCCCTGAGAGAACAGGGGGGAAAAGACAGAACCCCAGGCTCACTGGGTGTCTACTGTGCACCGGGCAGGGCACCAGGCCTTGCCTGTCTGCTGTAAGAGCAGCCACTCCCAGGAGAGAGTGGACACCTCCAGCGGCTAGGCCCTCAGGGACCCACACACAAGCAGGTGACCGTGAAGCAGACTGTTCTGTTCCCTAGCAACAGTTAGCCTGAACCAAGATGGCCAGTGGTGCCTTGCGTTCACCTGAGGCGCCCGAGGCAAGCTTCCGTGTGCTCTCCTGCCTAGCAGTGTCTCCAGCCAGGGCTTTCACTGTTCTTCCAACACTGAGCCCACCCAGGGAGGCCAGAAGTACCAGGAGTCTGTGCCCTCTACCAGCGTGGGAGCAGGTGGCTGGTGGGTGAAGGCCCCGGCTTCCTTGACCTTTAGTGGGGCAGTCCGGCAGCAGCTGGCATGAGCTCTGGCTGAGATCAGAGGGCTCCTACACCCATCACCCTTTACCGTCTGTGCTCATGAATCACCTCCCACATTTTAGCTCATTTGGCTGTGGGGCAGAGCCAGCCCCAAACGATGCCATTTTCTTAAAGATTTTATGTGTGTCCATGCATCCATCCCGTGCCTGCCTGATGCCCGAGGAGGTTGGAAGAGGGTGTTGGAGCCCCTGCAACCAAAGTCATGGACAACTGTGAACCACCATGTAGGTGCTGGAACTCCAACTCAGGTCCTCTGTAAGCGTGAGAGTTTTACCCAGTGAGCCATCTCTCCAGCCCCTGTTTTGATTTTATGGGACAGAATCTCACTCTGTAGCCCTGACTGGTCTCAAGCTCTCTATGTAAACCAGGTTGGCCTCAGACTCAGAGAGCTCCAAGCGCTGCAGCCTCCCCAGTGCTGGGATTAAAACGAATGCCATCAAGCCTTGCTCACAGTATCAGTTCAAAACCCAGCATTCGGCCAGGCCTGGTGAGCACTGCCCTTGGGAGGCAGAAGCAGGCGGATCTGTGAGTTTGAGGATAGCCTGGTCTGTACAGCATGTTCCAGGCCAGCCAGAGATACACAGTGAGACCCTATATTAAAAAGGGGAAGGAAGAAAGGAAGGGAGGGAGGGAGACACCGAGGGAGAGAGGGAGGGAGAGAAGGAAGGAGTGGAGGATGTAAGAGAGGGAGGGAGGAAGGAAGAAAGGCAGGGAGGAAGAGGAAAAAGAACTAATAATAAAGAAAACCTAGTACTCACAGTGGGCCTTTGGCAGGTGCTGTCCACTTAGATGTCTGTTTCTCTTTTTTCAGAATCGAACTTCTTTAAGGACACAGCCCCCAAGGGAACTATGTCTGGCCTGTCAGCATCATCCAGGAGCAGGTAAGAGCCAGGGGTGGGGCACGGTGAGGGGAAGAGGTCAGAGCCTTGGGTCAACACACAGCACGGGGCAGCTTCTGTGTTCGTTTTCCATCCCATGTTCAAATCCAGCTCGGGGCTCTGTCTAGCACACCGGGCTCAAGTTTTAACCATTCGAAGCAAACACTCTGCCCCTCTCCCTCTTCTTTCAGCCAGACCAGAGGCTGGCCCTGCAGCCAGGTGCAGGGGCTGATACAGGCCCACTAACTACCCTCGAAGCTTGCTGCTTTGGCCTACTGTCCCACACAGTGCGCCCACCCGGCCACCATTCTGAGCACTGGCCTCGGGATCTGGTCAAGACTGGCCGCCCACCCCGACAGAAGCTAGTGTGCTCTGTCAGCATCGGGAGCAGGGGGCAAGACGATGAGGTGGTCTCCAGCCAGGGTCTGTGGGACCCGTATGCAGACAGTTCTGTCACCTCCACACGTGAACTCCACGCTCTTCTGTGTGGGCGCTGGTGATGCCATCTATCTGGAATGAGCCAGGGTGGGGGGCGGGGCTGGAACTCTCATGGAGCTCCATACTAAATGGAGAAACCGAGTTCCCGGCCTGCCAGTCAGCACCGCCTGTGGAAACAGCGTTCCCCTGGGCAAGGCCAGCAGCTCACAGTTTAGGCCCACTGAAAGAGTAAGATGCAGGGTCTGAAGGCGACATATGCCACAGCGCTCCTTTGCCTCTGGGCAGGTCATGGCAGCCGTGAGCAGCGCATGGCAGGACTTGCAGGTCAGAAGCTTTGAGTGGCAGCTGTCTATGCCGTTGATGATTAAAAACATAGGCGATAAGTAATCTCGACTTAGTACTTGCAGTCTGGGGTTGAAGTCCTCCAAAGTATAAGAAAAAGAATTAAAGGGGAGTGTGTTTGTTTGTTTGTTTCTTTTTCTGAGACAGAGGCTTGCCATGTTGCTCAGGCTGGTCTTGAACACCTTACCTTGACTCACGTGATCCTCCCACCTCAGCATCTGAGAAGCTGAGACTAAGGGAAGCCCCCCCATGCTGGGAGTCCAGAGGATGACTGCCAGCGATGTTTGGGAAGAAATGCTGTCCGCACAGGTGAGCCATTTGAGATGATTTGCATGAAACGTCCCCGGATGTTGAAGGTCTGGTTCCCGTGTGTGCTGCTATTTTGGAAGGTGCTAGACACTTTAGCAGTGCCTAGCTGGAGGAAGTAGGTCACTGAGGCTGGAGGGGTGTCAGGGTGTCTGGGGGGGCACACCTTGTCCTGACTCCTTCCTGTCTCTCTGCTGTTTCCTGGCTACGGGGAGGTAGAAGGCTCTACTGTCTCACCGCTACTATGATGCTGTGCCTAGCCTTAGACCCCAAGCAGTGCAGTCAGCTGAGCATGGACTGAAACTCTTATCTGCTTCCTCTGTTTCTCTGGGATATTTGTCTCAGTGGTGGAAACCTCCTAATACAGGCTGCGTTCTCACTAGGATAGGTGACCTCAGGGACGGTCATGTCCCTATTGTATAGAGGAGCAGACCGAGCTTCAGAAGGGTTACGTTACTCGCTGTGGCTCACAGTCAGGAAGAGACTTGGGCCTAGGTCTGCTTTATTTTAACAGTGAGTAAAAAGAAGGAAACAAGAGCGCACTGCCAGGGGTTTGGCAAGTCGTTTTTTTATTTGAGTTCATGAGGAAAAGAGGAAGAACAAGGGCTGGGAAGACCCTACCGGGTCTGAGGGCAGGAACTTCTCCATGCTGGCGCTGCGGGGTCTCCCATACCTAGAAGGCCTGGGGCACAGGTGCTCACAGAGACTTATTAGTGAATTACTGACGAGCCTGGAGGCATGAAGAGCCAATTCTACCTGAGGGGGGAGAGCAAGTGAGCATTTGAAGCCCCTAGTTTCTGAAATACATGGACTGGCTACATAGGGTCATTTTGTTTTGCTGCTCAGGTACCCCAAGCTACCCTCAAACTTACTATGTGGCCAAGAATAACCTTGATCTGGTCCTCCTGTCTCCACTACCCAAGTGCTAGGGTCACAGGTGTACACCTACCTGGGTATAATAGATACTGTTTTGCAATCTAGTTGTAGAACTATTTTTACTTACTTACTTTTGTTTTTGAGACAGGGTTTCTCTGTGTAGCCTTGGCTATCCTGTATTCTCTTTGTAGACCAGGCTGGCCTCAGACTCACAGAGATCCAACTGCCTCTGCCTCCCTGCGTGCTGGGATTACAGGCGTGCGCCACCATGCCTGGCTTAGAACTATTTTTAAACACAAGCTGGAGGAAAAGAAAACAATAAAGAAGATACAAGAAAACCCAGATTTGCCAGAAGCTCATTTCAATTCTTTTCCATAAAGCAATTCAAAAGCAGTCCACTCTGCTCCATCACCATCAGTCACCTCTGCGCCTGCACCTGGGCCATCTCCTCAGAAAACATTTCTTTGGAGTTTTATAATTTCCAAGTACAGGTCCCAAATACGTTTGGTTTGTTTGTTGTCTTTTTTGAGACAGGGTTTCTCTATGTAGCCTTGGCTGTCCTAGACTCACTTTGTAGACCAGGCTGGCCTTGAATTCACCGAGATCTACCTGCTCTGCCTCCCAAGCGCTGGGATTACAGGTGTGCACCACCGCGCCTGGCCATCCTTTTAATTTTTATTGGAGTGTGTTCACACACCAGAGGACAATTTGTAGAAGTTGATTGTCTCCTTTCACTATGTAGGTTCCAGGGTTCAAACTCAGCTGCAAAGCTATCTTTCTAGCCCTGTACCTGTTCTTTTACTATGTGCAGCTTGTTCTGTTATGACTTAAAAAAAAAAAAAACAAACGTAAGCCGTGTTGGTACATAGAGACCAACATGGTCCATTGATTTTAACTACAGTCTGGTACCCACCGGAATCCTTCAGTGGAGGGAGCTGTAGCGTGGTGGTCCTTAATTGAGCATGCACGAGGCTCTAGATTCAGTCCCCAGCATCCAAACAAAACAAATAGGAAAACAAACCGAAGAGAACAGCTTCTTTCTCAATCTGCTCCTCCGTGGGCAGACGTTAGTCTTGGCTGTCTCATGCCACGCAGAAGCAGAAGTCTGTACGGGTACCTCCAGGTGTATTAGTGTGTCACAGCGCCCCAAAATCAGTTCCAAGGAGGAGTCTCATCCTTACCTGATCCTAGTGGCTCAGAGGTTAGTCTCCAACCACGGTTGGACAATGGCATGATTGCCTATAAATAAAGGGCCCTGCCCCCTGTAAATTCTCCACAATTCTGCCATATCTCAGGTGCTGTACCTTCAGGTGTGAGCGCCCTGCGTGATGGGAATACGGTGGCTGGGCTGGGGCTCACGGGCTCTTGCTGTGCTCCCAGACTGAAGAGAGGGGTCGTGGCGGAAGAATTTGGGGTGCTGATCTGTCTCGCTCGCAGAGTCGTGAGCTCTTTGTTGGCCTCCTGAGGCCTTTAGGTCATGTTCAGCTCATAGCGTGCTTTCTGCCCCTGCACTATCACACAATGGTAGGACCCGGGGTCCACTCCATCTCCACAGCCTGCAGAGCCCCAGGCAGTCTCAGGAGGAACTGGCCAGCTGACAGAGCCACCCACCAAGGGGGATGACTTCATGAATTCCAGTCAGTCCTCTTTTATGCTCACCTATACCTCGCCAGGCACAGCAAACACTATCCATGGGCTCTCAAGTACCCAGCTGACAGGACACCTTTTGGCATCTTGGCCACATTTGTGCCCTCGCCAATGTTGCAGGATAATAAATTCCACTAGTAGCCAGACTGTCCAGATTCTATGCGGAGTGAGGTGAAGAGGGAGGCAATCTATCTTAGGACAGGAGTGTCAGTTGCCTCTGAGTGGCTTAATCTAATGTCTAGGCATCAAACATCTAAAAGGATACAGAGAGGCATACTGGAACTGCCCTAGACCCCTCCCCTTAAGTGGGACCTCTCCAACTCTCCCAGGAATGAGCAAGAGCATAGCTTTCAAAGCTTCCATCCTAGGGGCAGGGGCATGCTCAGTCCTTCCTGGAGGCTAGGCTCAAGCCCTGCTCATCATTCTCTTAGCACTATGGATGCCATTTCTATAATACCCTTTCAGAGCTATGAGTTCCAACTTGTGCCTCGGCTAGAGCGCTCCAGTCGAAAGGCTGTGCCTGGCACATTTGCTGCTATTCCCTTGGGCCTGCTCCTCAGGCCCCAGGAGCATCCATGAGGACAACCAGTAAGATCCACCAAGGCATGCTGAGGAACTTCTCAAAGGCCCTGACAGAGCACATGTGTCTTGCCCCAAGTCACAGGCTAGTCAGGAAGAGACCAAGGACCCTGATGGGAGCTCTGGCTCTCAGTCCTGTCATGCGGGGCTAGGCTCAAGATGTGGAGAAAAATGACCCAGGGAAGGTTGAGGATCTAGGTGAACCAAAATCATGTGTCTTGAAACCATAACAGAAGCCCCGTGCCCCTGCGGGCTTCCCACAACCCTGTAGTGAACAGCGTTTTGCTTGTTGTGAATTTTCAGGGCAGGATAGAAAAGTCCTTTCTGAAAAAAAAAATTCCTCTAGGTCCTACTATGAAGATGAGGTAAAAACAGACCTGCTGTGATTGCCTGGAGATCCCTCCAGCCCCCCTTTCCTGCTGCCATCCCCATCCAGGCCAGATTCCCCAGTGTCCTGTCAGGGTCTACAGCCATGAGCAGGCAGTGAGATGGGAGGTGTGTATGGCTGTCTCTGCCCTTCACCTTGGATGAGTCGCACACGGGTTAGGGTTAGGCCTTGGTTTCCCCGTTTGTCCAATGAGTCTGCTGGACAGGGATTTCCGGCATCTGAGCTCGGTTCTGCCGGGAAGAGTGCAGCTCCACGGTTATAAATGCCTAATCCTGAAGGTCCCTGGCTCTCAGCTTCTAACATTGCACTGCCGAGCATTTAGAAGTCGGGGGCTGCCTGAATCTAGCCTATGCTGGTGCAGCACACTGGGGCCCAGGCTGTGGAAAGCAGAATTCATTAAGGCAACGTTGCTGCCCAGGGCCAGCGAGTTCCCTGGAGAGGGCATGCCCCATGCAGGATGGAGGAGGTGGGGGTGGGGGCTGGGTGGACCTGGATCAGCAGCCACTCAGTGGGCAGAGCTGGGAGAGGGACCCAGGTCTCCTGACTCCTGCTCTATCTTTAGATCTCCATAGCAACCGTCGCCAGGGCACCGAGCTGAAGGCTCAGGCTATGTGGCTGCCTGCCGGAGGGAGGGGCCTTTGCCTCTGCTCCTCTTCTTTTGTGGGGAAAGGACTATGAGCTGGCCTCCTGAGCCAGGAAAGACAGACTGGGCATGAAGCTGATTTTGGCAAGAAAGACTTTCGTGGATGCAGAGATGGTCCAGGGCAGTGCTTTGTTCTGAGAACATGGCCAGGTCATAGACCCAAAGCCTTAAGTGAGTCAGGCTCAACCTACAGGAGGTACAGAAGGACCTCTGAAGAGCTCTGAGCTTTTCCGGAGGACATTCTCTTAGCATTGATGGGCTGTCTCACCCCTGGTCCCATCCAACTCCCACCAGCCCTGAGCTCAGCAGGACTCCATTTGCTTGGTTCCCCTGCAATAATCTTCCCTGGCTCCCAGGCCAGCTGCTGGCCTCCCTCCACACAGCAGGATGTGGCAGACAGGAAAGGAAGTTCCCCAGGGGTGCTGATGTTTGTCCAAGGTCTCTGGGCAAGTCAGCAGTGGGGGTCAGGCCTGGACTCCATGTCTCCCGACTCTGGGCTGGGCTCCCTCCTATGCCCCTGAATAAGGTCCATCCAGGGCTAGAAGAGGAAGTAGGAGTCCTCAGTCAGGCCAGCAGACATCAAACACCTCGCCATGTCCTCAGTGAACGTGGGTGAGCCACAGACTAACGTAAATGGCTTCCTCCGGCAGCAGGCCACCAGCTCATCAACCAACCCCTGGCCCAGGCGGCCAAAGCGCGTCTTGTCACGGTAGCTCCAGGGAAGCTGCCCTGGGGAGTCCTCCTGGGAAGAGAGAGCAGTGGTGACTCTTGGTGGTCCTTGGTGTCCATCCAGCCAGCTCCTTTTTTGCCACTGTGGGAGATGGGAGATACCCTTCACCAAAAGACGCTCCTAACTCAACTGCCACTGCCACGCTAGCCTCTGAGAGGAAGGTCCAGGCCACGGAGAGATGGTCCCGCCAACCAGAGTAAACACAGCCCTGTGGAGGCCCGAGAAGCAGGGGCTCCTAGTTCCTTCAGGCCTTGTAGTGTCGCCTCAGGGAGTCTGTATGACTTCCAGGTCCTCTGGTGCTGTCCAGAGGCACTCTCTGGTGAGCTAGATCTCCTACCTGGTAGAACCCTGAGGGCAGAGCCTGCAGGCCTCACCGGCCTCATCTCTCCTTCCACTTCCCAATTCTCTCCAACCCTTGGCTCCACTGGCCCTACCTGAATTGCACACCCCAGGATACAGTGAGTCTGGTTACCCCTTGGTTGTAGTAGAACCCCTTAAACAGCGTTAGGCAGGGAGGCAGCAGCGGGGCTATGACAGCCAAAACAGTAGCACCCAGGGCTCTGAGCCTGTAGGATGGACTTCCCCTCAGGAGGTCCATGAAGAGTGAGGAGGCGCAGCGAAAGGAAGGGGACCTGGCAGGGGACAGCAGGAACAAAGGCGAGCTGCCAGAAAGGCGCAGCACAGTTCTACCTGCAGGCTCGCCAGTGACACCAGGACACAGCATTAGGGAGGCCAGGCCAGGAGATGGAGCCAGCAGGGTTAACAGGCCCCTGAGCTTGGGAACTCCTGAGAACAGTGGGAGCCAGCAAAGGGCTAGGAGCAAGGCAGTGTGGAACAAGCTGGCAGGAAGTGGAAGGAGTGGGAAGACCAGCTGCCAGGCTCAGGCAGAGAGAGAGAGGCGACCTGCGTCGAATGCATGTGGGGGAGCGGAACTACCACAGCTACCCCTGACTCCTGCTATCAAGCCAGCCAGCCATTTGCCTGCGCAAACTTCGGCATCTAGCATCATCAGAGCCTGGCAGGGCCGAAGGTGACCTTTCTGGTCTGGGCTCAAATGCAGCATTGCTGATGCCACTTGCCCTCCCTGCTGAGCAGCACGTGTGTGTGCTGGACTGATGGACACAATGAGAATGGCCTCTGTGCAAGACCAAGTGGGCTGGTACCCTGCTCTCTGTTGCTGTTACCTCAGCTTCCACGTCTGTAAAAGAAACAGGTGGCAGTACAAACCGCGTAAGACTGCCGTGAGGACTGAAGTGTTATGAAGGGCACACAGAGGCATGTTCAAAGACGAGTCCCCGTCGGTTTTTGTCACCTTGATACAAGCTGGAGTGGCCTAGGAAGGACCCTCAGTTGAGTAAATACCTTTATCATATTGGCCCACAGGCAAGCCGGTGGAGCTCATTCTCTATTCTCAATCTCTCTCTCCTTCTCTCTCTTTTCGAGACAGGGGCTCACTATATATAGCTTTGGCTGGCCTAGAACTTGCTATGTAGACCAGGCTGATGGCAAACTCATACAGATGTGACTGCCTCAGCCTCTCAAGTGCTGGAATTAATGGTGTGTGCCATCATGCCAGCTTGTTTTCTTAATGGGCGATCGGTGCGGAAGGGTCCCTCTCGCTGTGGGTGGTGCCATCCCTGAGCAGGGGGCCCTGGGCTAGATACAAAGGGAAACTGAACAAGCCAGGAAGGAGAATTCCCCCACAGTCTCTGCCTTGTTTCCTCTTTTCAGGTTGATTCTGCCCTGACTTCCATTCCAGATGGACTACAGCTGAAGGCTGAGATAAACACTGTCTTTCCCAAGCTGCTTCTGGTCATGGCCTCTATCAGCAACAGAAGGCAACTAAGATAGACAGCTGTGACCAGCCGTCCCTGTAGGCAGGTGAGTGCCTCAAGGGCAGGAAGGATCTCACCTTCCCTTGTGTCCCTGGCATCTCTCGTCTGGCTGAGGATGGAGGGAAAGCAGGCTAGTCAAGCAGCCAGGTGAAGCGAGTCTACCAGGCTTCTGTGCTGATGGCCTGTGGCCTTCCTGCCTCCCCTCAGCTGCACACAGCCTCCTGTTTCATGCCCTGCCTTGGGCCCTTCCTGCTGCTGTTAATGATCACCAAACAGACCCTCCCAGGTGCTTGTCAAAACGCTTTCCACCTGTGGACAGGCCTGTAGACCCTGGCTCTGCAGAGCTCTGGAGGGGATAGCAGTCCATTTCCTAGTTCCCAGCCATGAGGTTGAGGATCATAGAAGCTGTCAGAGATTGTCCAGAATTGTCTCAAAAAGGAAACTGAGGAAGGGTTAGTACAGGATTAAGGAAAGGGGGGGTGTAGCAGGGAACCCCAACCCAGGGAGTACAGGAAAGAAATAAAATTAGATCCTCTAGAAAGTAGACAGACAATGGCAAGGGAAGGCCTGGCTTGAGATATAGGGGCATGAACTGGAGGACCGGGACACAGAAAGCAGGATGTGGGGCGGCTTCCCGCTGGAGGACTTACAACTTGCTGAGTCTGACAAGAGCTGCCCTGAACCTATGTGGAGAACAGGCGGAGCGAGCCGTCTTGATGGAACCCCTGCGCCGGGCCTGGCCTCACGCTCAGCACCACTGGGAGTATGTGAGCCCACACATGTGATCCCAGGGGATAGATGGGACATGGCTGGGGACAGCAGCTACAAACTGGAGCTCAGGAGTCTGAAGCATGGGGCCAGGTCCTCCCGCATCTTAAGTGCATCCCTTGGTCCAGCATCTCTGTAAGCCTGCTTCCTCCCCTGTATGAAGGACCTGGGAAGGCCTAAGTCCCACGCAGAACACCTGGGAATATTCCCAGGCACAGGGCACAGTGGCTACAGCCAGTCCTCAGGGCAGCACGAAGGGAAGGCAGCCTCTCAGGGGCAAGCCCCCATCCTGGGCTCACCTGACTGAGGACGAAGAAGGTTCGCACATTCCAGAACCTGGCTTGTTCCTGGAAGAAGCTCTTCAGGTAGATGCCCTCGAAGGTCTTGAAGCAGCCAACCAAGGTGACAAAGGTCTCATCGTCTGCGTTGTCTGTGATGCTGTGCAGAATGGGCACCATAGGCGCCAGGCCCGTGCCGGCAGCCAGCATAAGGAGTTCACCATACTAGAGAGCAGGATGGATGGCGCAGTGGATAGGGGGCTCTCACCCACCACCCCATTATGGGTCTTCTCTTGCTCTTGCCTAAGCTGGGCAGCAATGCCTTTCTCAAGTGCCCCACCCATCTCTGCCATGCTCTACCCCCGCTGCAGGGAGCCACCTGGCTTGTCAAGAGCAGGTAAGGCCTGCAGAACATGGGATTATGGGGCTCCAAGGCTCCCGGAGAGCAAAACACTGTAGCTCAACCTGAAAAGGGCTTGGCTGCCATTTAACACTTCTCCACAAGGACGATGCTTACAGCTGGCAAGGAACTCACAACCTCCCAAAGCCACTTCCTCTCCTACCACAGCCTCGCCCCTCCCAACTCCATCCCAGCTTGCTCTGGACAGCCTCCTCTGATTCTATGAAGGTCTTAGGACCCCAGTCTAGAACCCTGAGCTTCTCTTCTCTGCACTAGATAAACTGATGTAAACATATGCCTAGCCTGGCACTATAAGGTATGTTCCTGCCCAAGAGACCCAGTACCACCAACCCTCCTCAGCCAGCCCATTTCCTATTTCTAGGTTTCTTAAAGAAGGGCAGGCCTTTTCAAGGTTTCCTCCCTGCCTGCCTCCCCACCCCCCCTCATTTTCTGTTTTGTTTTGTTTCGAGACAGGGTTTCTCTGTATTGCCCTGGATGTCCTAGAATTCATTTTGTAGACCAGGCTGGCCTCAAACTCAGAGGTCTGCCTGCCTCTGTCTCCCAAGTGCTGGGATTACAGGCGTGTGCCACCACCACCTGGCTCTCAAAGCCAGTTTCTTAAAAGTTAATTCCTGACCCACACAGAAAAATATTCACCTTTTCATTCCAGGGATTAGGCTTCTGTGTATAAATATCAACCATGTGATCTGAGCAAGCTATTTTCCTGATCTGAACCTCAATTTCTTCACTGGAGAAAAACAATAATGAGAGCACTTTCCTAAAATAACTCCTATCTCAGAATTGCCATGAGGACCAGATGAGGTAATATGAAGGCCCAGTATGGAGTTGAGATTTAATCTGTTTCAGTTCTCCCCTTTATTAAACCTGAGATCCTGGGTCAGGTCACCTTGTTGTGAAACCTTGATGCCTCCAGCCCTCAGGTCTTCGGCCTAATTCACCCCTCCTTTTCTCTCATTCTTGATCAGCCTGTGTTCTCAGAAGCCTTCCCTGAGCAGGGCTGGAGTGGGGACTCCTCTTTTCCTGTCCCCCTAGTGCCTTGTGCCTCCCTCATACAACACTGGGAAATACTACCAGTCTCCTCCTGGACAGATGCTAGCGTCTGCCTGTGGCAGACATCTGTTTGGTTGATTTAACATCTGTGTGCAATGAGACAGCTACAGAGCAGGACTGGCAAGAAGGTAGGGACCTGAGCTTTCTCAAGGAGCAGTGCAGGCCCTGGCAAAGCTTTGGTGACCAATCTGAATGTGGAAAACAACACCCGTGCCCCTTGCCACTGGCTCTAGATAAGAGACAAAAGGCTCTGATGCCCAAGGATGCAGACCACAGGTACTGGGAGCCTCCCTTGTGGGAAAAATGGTCACAGACCCATCTTCTCCAAGCCAGGAAAAGAAACAACACCCACAGCCTATTTTGGGGGGCAAGAGCCAGAATGAGGGGGCCACAGAATGCAGAGCTGAGCATGGGTAGTTCCAGAACGCTGCTGGAGAGTGGTAACATACACACCTGTGTGTGTAAAATGGGAGTGGGGGTTAAATCACCTGCAAGCTGCCATGAGGGCTGAGTGAGCCCCTACATGGCAAGCGTTAAAGCCAGAGCCTGCGCAGAGGATTGCTACAGATGGGTTTGGCAGTATGTATGGGGTATACATTTCCTGGGATGGAGCCCAGGGCCTCACAAGAGCTGGGAAAGCATTCTACACTAAGCTACAGCCTAGCCCTGACAGGGCTGGTATGATGCTCAGATACGTGTGTGTGCGTGTATGTGTTTGTACATATGCCCATGTGTGGGAGAGGGTTGGGAAGCGAGGGAGTAGGGCTGGCATCCTGGGGAGATGGCCCGCAGGTGCATTTGGGTTTTTTCTTTTTGTCTGACTCTGATGCTTTTTGTTGTTGTTGTTAGCGCACATGTTTTGCATTTATAATAAGGGAAAATACAATAAAAGCTATTTTTAAATTAAACAAAAGGAATGGCAAGGCAAGCATGATTCATTCTTTTCTACTTGTTTTGGTTTTGCTTTGTTTTCCTAATTATAAAGGTAATAGGTGTTCATTCCAGATAATTTGGAAAGGATAATGAAGAAAATGAAAATTGCCCATAATTCCCCCGCTCCAACCTGCTAATACTTCATACATTTTCCATACACATTTTTTTTTTTCTGTGCACTTTAAGTTAGTTTCTCTACTGGGCATACATTTCATACCAACTACTTGTTACTTGCTCTTATAGTATAAGCACAGAGCATCACTAAAAATATAACTTCAAGGGCTGGAAAGCTGGCTCGGCTATTAAGAGCACTGGCTGCTCTTCCAGAGGACCTGGGTTCAATCCCCAGCACCCACATGGAGGCTCACAACTGTCTGTAACTCCAAGATCTGACACCCTCACAAAGACATACGTGCAGGCAAAACACCAATGCACATAAAATAAATATATTTATAACAACATAACTTCAAAATCTAGGAGAATGTTCTATCAAGCACCTTAACTGGTCCCTTATTTAGATACTCAGCTGCTTCTAGTATTTTGTTATGATAAATAAAAACTAGCACATGCAAATGAAGAAGCATTTTTTTCCCTGTCTAATAGACTTCCAGAAATGGAGTTGCTGGGTCAAAGGATTCTCAAGACTCTTGATACGTATGACTGGACTTCTTCCCAGGCATGAAGCAGCTGATGAGAAATGACCAGTTTTCTCTGGGAAAGCTGGACAAAGATCCAAGCATGCCAAGCAGATGAGGCAAGAGCCTTCCAATGCAGAAGGACTCAGCTTCCAGCAGTGAGTATGGGCTGTGCTCAGCCTCCTGAGCAGAGGGCCCAACTGGAACAGTACCTGAGAGTCAGAGGGCATCAGGATCCTGAACCCTAAGTACCCAAGCTTGATTTTCTGAGGCACCGCAGCCAAAAACGGTTTTGGAGGAAAGTGGACAGTTTTGTTTATTAGGGCTCCTCTATCTTCCCCCCTTGTCTAAGCCCAACATCACTCTGGTGATTGGGTTTAAGTGTTGGAAGAAAAGTGCAGTGAGGATCTATATCCTGAAACAGGGGACTCTGGCCCAGAGAACAGCCTGGGGAAGCTCCTCAGGACTGAAGGTGCTGGCACTGACCTTGTTTGGTTCATATAAGAAGCTTCCGAAAGGCCCTCGCCAGAAAGCTGTGTCTCCCGGTCTCCAGGACTCCACGTACCGGGACATCAGCCCAGTCTGATAGCACTTGAAGCAAACACAGGGCACAGTCAGTGGACAGGCATGTGTCGCTCTGCAGACTCCCTGGCTAACACCTGAAACTCCTCCCGCGTGCTCGGGTGTCTCGGGAGCGACTCCCACCTTGCCTTCCTCTGCACCCCTCATGTTGGAGCTGCCATCCACACTGGCATCTGACCACACAGGGTGGGTGGGAAGGCTGAGATGAGCCTCCAGTGGGCCTACCGACCTCGGAGAGGTCTCACTTCCAAATGCCTGAGGGGACGGTACAGGGAGTGCAGCCCAGCAAAGAACTGGGTAGTGACTAAAGACAGCTGTCACTCAGGATCAGAAAGACAGCAGACTCTCTACCAGGCGATGTCCTTCTAAGAGGGAAGCTACTTTGCAGGTACTAGTCTGTAGTTTGTGGGGCGGAGGTTGCCAGATCTCAGGAGCCTTCCGAGAGATGTAGGAGATCCACATTTTTACTGAAAACCCTCCCACTTCTATGAGTAATAAGTAATACTCATGAGTAATATGAGTAATACTATGAGTAATATGAGTAATAAGCTCATAACCCCGCCATCCTGGCAGGCTAAAGCCTAGTACCTTTGTAAGCTGGATTCAGTGTGCAGTCTCCGGCTCCCTCTAGGCCACCTCCTGCTGGGAGGACTAAGAGGCTGAGCTCTCTGCACTGCCTATCTGTCCTGTTCTGAGCACCATGCTGGGGTCGCAGGGCATGCGGTTGGCCCTTACACATCATGAACACATCCAGAGCCTGAACCAGGACCATTCAGCAACAAATATTCTAGTCGACTCATTTATCCAGTTAGGTCTCCTCTGAAAGGCCTCAAAGTATAGGAGGGATGTATATACACACCCCAGACACAAACAAGGTAGAGACAGCTTCACACTCCAGGAGAAACCCAGAGCCCAAGGAGTAAGTAAGGCTGGCTTCCTGGAGGTGGAGACACTTAAGCTTAGATGAAACTGGATTTCCAGGGGTTGGGGAGGCATGCAGAGGAGACTCCGGGCATCTGCAGGAGTGTGGTCAAGGACTCAAGAGTTGAGATGTTCTCTTGGGAAGAACAGATGGCCATGGAGGGGTAGTCAGGGAAAACCATGAGACAAAAGTGGAAGGGTGCTCGGGATGCTCCCGAGCTTGAAGGACAGAGTACCCTGTGGTGGTCAGACCTGCCTTTGGGCACCCACAGCTGCCTGACACTATCTGCACGAGGCACAGGAAGTCCCTGCTCGCCTGGGAGAGTTTTCACTGAAAGCTGTGTGGGAGCACATTTTAGTTTTGGGGCCCAATTTGGGGAAAGTAAAAACCCCAGCTATGGGTGTCTGAGAAATGGATCAGCAGTTGAGAGCACTGGCTGCTCTACCAGAGGACCTGGGTTCGATTCCTACTGCCCACATGGCAGCCCACCACTGTCCACACACATAAAACAAAACAAACAAACAAGACCCCAGCTATGGTCCTAGCAGCCCTGTGACATAGACAACACCAAAGGAAAGATTCTTCTGCCACAGAGAGCCTGGTTTGGAGCAAATGCTCAAAAAAACCCCAATAGAGCTTTTGTCCTACAACCCAGGAGTCTTTCAAGCTTCAGTTTCTTCATTGGTAAAGTGGGGATAATATGGTCTTCCTGAGGCCATGAGCTGGAATGAGGAACAGTTACAAGCAGTGTGAGCAGTGCTGAGCAGGTGCCTAGAAAAGGAGCCCTTAGTCTCCTCGTGGGAAAGTCAACCCACAAATTCCCACTGCCTTCCCAATTTGCAAAGACATTTCCAGCTCTTCCCAGCCAGTGGCTTAGGGATAATGAGATACCTCTCTGAAGGAGCAAATCAGCCATGCGGCTGGGAGGGATCCAGCTGCTCTGGAGGACTGTCTCCAGGCTTATCCTCTCAGCAGAAGCGCCCTAGACAAGCAGCGCAGGGAAGCAGGCCATTTGGAGAGGATTTGTGGAATCTCGCAGACAAACAGTAGTGTGCAGAAGGGAGCTCGTCTGGGCTTATGTGGGAAGGAATAAACATTCGGGCTCTGCAGGCAGGCAGGAGAGCAGGAGCCCAAGACGGCCCCGGGGCCTCAGAGTCAGGGGCTTGCTCACCCATAGCAGTTTCTTCCTCACCTCCCACCTTGCATCCTCCCGGGCCTCAGCCTGCTGACCAGTGAACTAGGCTAATGACACGGCCCCGTAAGGAGGCTTGGGGGTCAAAGCTGTTCTTCAATACTGATGCTCCTTAGGATCCCATGAGGGAAATGCTCTCACTTGCAGGCATGACAGACCTCCTGTGGCCTGTGGCCACATGCAGCTAAGGACAGCTATGAAAGTGGCCTGACACAAAAGCAAAAACTTATTTTAAAGCATTATTAGCATTTCTGTTTTGGGGTTTTGTTTGTTTGTTAACTCAACTGTTCTGGGGCACGAACGTTGGAGATGACAGCAACGACAATGATGGAACTGTAAAAGGCCAGACGTGTGTGGTAGAGCTACGGCAGGTTGGCACACATGAAGCCGCTCTTGCCGGAAGTCAAATGTCAGAGGGTCGGTGGGTCCACGGAAAGCAGTCCCTCTAGTCTCCTCACTCTGGTTCTCCATGACTGTAATTTAGTGCTCAGATCTTGGGTCTCCAGTGCGTTCTGTATCCAACCCATTTCACTCATCCCTGATGACTCTTCCACCGACCATCCTGTCCCACAGGCGTGTTCTTCTACCACTTGGGCTGAATACAGTTCCTAGGAGACCTGTTCCCTGTCGCCCTTTCCTACGTCTGGCTACTAGTACTCCCAGCTCGAATGCTATGCATTCATTCCCTGCCACCATCAGTTCACACTCTTCCTTCAAGGCCCACCTCCCAGAGAGAGAGGATGTCAGGCCAGTCCTGTCTGAAGGGTCTTCATGCCCAGTTCCCTCTACTGATCCCCTGCCCCCTTCTGTGCCGGGATGGAGGACTTTCCTTGTTCTCCTGTTATGCTGCTCCCAGCTCTCAGCTTTCTTCCCATATTTCTCTCGTTTCTCAGCTCTCGAACACACAGCATCTACCAGGAAGCTGGCCTTGTAGGGCAGCCGGCCTGAGTTGGGCTGGGCCTCCCCTGTCATGATAGCACCAGGCTGTGCTGCACTGATCTGACCACTTGTCCTGGGCTGGGTCCCTCCAGGTCAGGCTGGGCCCCATGCCAGCACACATACAGGTGCTGCACACTCCACCCCAGCTCAGACTTCTCTTCCCGCCACTATATAAAAGGTGGTACAGCATAGCTTTCTTAAAATCTCCCAGCAACATGCCTTCTGTCAAATGCCCAGCAGCAGCCTCCTTAGGAGAAGAGAGGGAAGGGACCCTTCCTCATAACCTATCACTCCTACAAGTCAGTCAATTCTCATGCTAACTAATACATGGGAACCCCTTCACCCCAATCAAGCTAGAGGGGGAGGTACAGGTCCATATCACCTTACAGAATCCTCTACGAGAATCGACTCACCTTGATTAAAACGTCAAAGTATCCTTCTGCAGTGACAGGGCTGATAGGGGTGTAGGCCCTCTGAATTTCTAAGCCATCGACTGTACCTCTAGGAAAGAGAAGCACACAGATGGTCAGGTAGTCAGCCATTTAACAAGCTCCTAGCAGGCAGCTCCCCCGCCAGGCTGACAGACGTGAAGGTGGGTTCCAGTCATTCCCTGCAGTCCTCAGCAAGGGGCAGGTGAGGAAGAGCAGAAGGAAGAACCCTGAGCTCACTCCTACCCACGCTGCTTGGGAGACCTGTGCAGGTCACACAGGAGACAGCAGTGTCTCCTGTGACACAGCCAGGTAGCCCTTTAGATCTTGGTTGTGTGACTCCACCGGGACCAGACAGAACAGAGTGTCAGAAAAGCACACTGATGATGTGAGCAGTTTGTGGGACATTACCGTGCTTTCCTTCTCTGCTACAAAACAGCACAGATAAAAGCAGCTGCTAAGGTTTATGAAGCATCACTAGACCCGCAAGCAGGAGAACAGCAGAGTCCTCAAAGAGGCCAAAGCCCTGCCAACGTATGGACTGTCTTTACGATGTTACCAACAATGGGGTAAGGAGAGCAATCATGAATGCGATAAGAGCTATGAGGAACAAACGCCTATTGTGTAGCAGGCATATCATATGCGTAAGTTACAATAACAACCCAGGGCTGGAGAAATGGCTCCGAGGTTAAGAGCACTCACTGCTCTCATAGGGGATCTCCGTTTGGGTCTCTTCCTGGATCGGCTGGCTCATAACTGCCCGTGATTCTAGGTTTGGGGGCTCTGATACTTTCTTCTGACCTCCATGAACACTGCACACGAGGCGCATACATGCACTCAAGCACACACACATATACATAAAATACAAATACATAAATCTTAAAAAAAAAAAAAAACAAAAACGCAAAACAAATGCAGAATGCAATGCTAAGAGAAGGAGAGCCACTTGTACAGCGCCATTTGACCACAGCTCCACATCCAAGTTTGGGTCTGCTCCTCAAAGTATCTCAGGTAGCAGAGTGTGGCGGCGTACCCTATAATCCCAGCATGTGGGAGGCTGAGGCGGAAAAAGCATAAGTTTGAAGCTGGCCGGAAGTACATAATGACCCTGTAAAAACAAACAAACCCCCAAACCTACATCCAAACAATAACAACAAGAATCCTGATAACCTTCCGGGCACACCCAAGCACTCCTTTCTCTGGCTTTACTGTGTGCAGGACACTATGGCCCAGTGAAATGCGTCAAATGCAGGGGCACTAGACAGAATGTAGGAAATGCTCAGGAAACATATGCCGACACCAAGAGCAGAACAGAACATGGCTCAGAAGCGGAGACTGAGACACCACCCAGTGTGCCAGGTACAGCCTGGCGTGTCTCAGAGGGAGTGAGCACTGTCTCTGTGAACTCAGAGGCCTGCTGGATCAGGCCACTGACAGGTGAGGCCAGGAAGGGAGTGACTCCAGGAGGAAACAGCCCGGGCTGGAGAGAGGCAGGCAAGTTAGGAACTCACAGTTGGGTTTCCAGGCTGCTGGGTACATGCGGGGTAGGGAACAGAGCATCTGGCAGGAAGGGACGATCTGGGAGGAAAGGCTGGGCAGCCATGGATTAGAACGGGGAGCACCCAAATGCGTCTGAGTGACATGGTCATATATGTTAGAGATGTCACTGAGTGGTAGAGAGGACAGAGGGGTGTCAATCTAAAAACAGGGTGTCCTGGACACTCTGATTTACGGATGGATTGTTGCAGAGTGTTATGACCTGGGTTGTGGCTTCCCCTGTCAGCTGGGATAGTGAACTTCAAGGGTGGCCAGCCAGGCCACAGGCCAGAGAAGCTGGACACAAATACCAGGGGCCGGCGTGGGGCAAGTGGCCAGTCTGACCAGCAGCAAGTTCTCTTTCTAGTTCCCTCCCTCCTTGTCTTTTGGCCAGGCCTGGTGGGGCTTTTCGGTTTCGGTTTTGCTCTGTTGGGTTTTGTTTGTTTGCTGGTTCCTTCTCGCCAACGCCATAAGCTGCAGCATTCTTGAGGCTCAGATCGAGGTCCTTTTCTCTTCCCACATGTGAATGTACTCCGAACATGCCTGGGTGTGTGGTGACATCTTCCAGATCCACGTTTTCAGTACTGATCTCTCTGCTGAGTCTCAGGTACCCACAGCTGTCTGTCTGAAAGATGCCCTTTCCTGGCGAGATGCGGGTGGCTCGGGCTGGGGTTTCACAGCAGGTCAGGAGGAGGCTCAGAGGAGGGGATATTAGTGTGGTTCGGCAGCCAGGCTGTCCAGGCTGGAATCTGGTGGCTGTGTGAGACTGGGAAACTTTTCCATCTGCTTTTTTTGCCTTTTATTATTATTATTATTATTATTATTATTATTATTATTATTACTACAGATAACATAGTAACAAGCCCAGGATAGCTTGAGATGTAGCTGCTGCTGGCCTTAAACTCCTAATGCCCCTGCTCTACCTCTTCTCTGTTCAACTTCTTTACTCTTAGTGTCCTTTCTATCATCGGATGCTAATGACATTGGCTCCAAAGAAAGACTGCTTGCTTTCCATCCTGATCCAACACTTCCTGTGTTGGACCTTCAGCAAGTTCCTGAACCTCTCTGACCTCAGCGTCCTCTGGGGAATGATAATGGCACCTACCAGGCAGGATTTTGTGAAGGTTTAGTGCGTCCGTGGATGTGAGGAGGCAGAACTTGGCCAGTAAAGTGCTGGTGTTACTACCTATCACGAGAACACATTACTGAGCTCCATGCCAAGGACCTGGAGCCAGACCCTGTGTCCATCCTGAGGAAGGTGGAAAAAAAAAAAAAAAAGGCTTAAGAAAGGTCAGGTAAGCTGTCCCAGGCTACTCAACTGGTCAAGGGCAAAGCGGGGCGGCGGACACTGGTCCTCCCACTACCTGAGTGTACCGTAGGATGAGGTGCTGCCCGGGATGCAGGCCCAGCTGACGGCTCCCAGGCAGTGTAAACCGGACGAGATAGGTGTCAGCGGTGAGCTTCTCCATGGTGCTGATGTGGAAGGCCAGGAAGGTCTCCGGACTCAGCTCGGTAGAACAGCCCTGCAAGAGGAAAAGATTTGACCTCTAGAGGTCAGATCCAGAGGACACACATCCTGGGACACACATACTTTCCCCGATGAGAGCCATCTCCTGATGCGACAGAGGGCTGGCCCCTGCTTCCCCTCCATCTGCAGCATAGTACATGGAGTTTACACTTCTTTTATGCCTTCTGTAGCTCCCCACAAGCGCAGGACCAAGAAGGGCTCGTTAGCCTCCACTCAAGGGAGCAGTGGATAACCCACAGCTTCATTTTCTCGGCCACAGAACAGGTGCTAGACTTCCATTCCTCCTCTCAGGTCACCGGTCACTGCCCACCTTGTCCAAGTTGTATCCTCTATACAGAACACTCACTTCTGTGTGCTAAACAGCTTCTCATCCTTCAGTACCAGGTCCACAGAGCTGAAAAAACTGATGGAGACTTAGGGGTGATCCAATTCAAGATCCTTGTATCACATATGGGGAAACTGAGGCCTGAAGGTCTCAGGTTTTGGATTTTGAGAGGAACATTGGGGTGGATTATCCTTTTGGGAACAAAGTTATTAACACAGATAATATGGCAGGGGTTCAAAATACAATTCAGGCCCATGAGGCTAAGTAGAGGTTCCCTCTAGAGGCTTCAGAGAAAAAGGGAGGTCCCACATCACGTGGTTGATGAGCAGCCCACAGTACACTCTGGCAGTCAGGTTGTCTGACTCCCAGGAGGCAGGAGAAGGGGGAAAGGTTCAGCCCTGTAAGTTAATCTGCGCCCATAATATGCAGGCCTGATTCAGGTACAAACCTCCTTTGGAGAAGCGAGAATTACAGAGTCATAGACAGCCCAGTATGGTGCCCGCCTGACATCTGTGACAGACAGCACAGAAGCGGTGAGGGTAGACAGAGAAGGCCCCAGCAGGTGAGCATAGCCTGAGCAGCCTCTAGTCGATACCTAAGAGCTTGCTTGTTCAAAGCCAACCATGTCCTTAACTCATGTCCTCTGCGTCTCAGGCCATTGCCCTTACTATCCTAACCCTCCCTGCGTTTCCTGTAGGAAGCCTTCTCTGAATACCATGACTACTACTGAGCTCTCTTGTTCTCTCTCTCCTTCCCTCTCTCTTTGATACAGAGTCTAATGTGGCTCAGACAGACCTGACTCACTAGTTGGCCAAGGTTGGCTTTGAATCCTCGATCCCCCTGCTTCTAGCTTCCAAGCACAGGGACTGAAAGCGTGCACCACTACACCAAGCTTTGTATATGTATTTCATAAAATAGAAATCGCTACGGGAATTAATAATTATTACTTCATCACAATTTAAAAGATAAAATTATTAGAATGAAATTGGCCAGGTGGTGGTGATGGCGGCGGGACCCAGCACTCGGGAGGCAGAGGCAGAGAAAGAGGCAGGTGGATTTCTGAATTCAAGGCCAAGCTAATCTTCAGAGAAAGTTCCAGGACAGCCAGGGCTACCTGAAGAAAACCCTCCCTCAAAAAACCCAAAGGGGAAAAGAATGCTGTTTTGTAAGACTTAACAAATTTTGTAGTGTCACTTATTTCTCTGTTATCACAGGTGATTACAGCCACTATACACTGAGCATATGACTACTGGGAAATGTATGAAGCTCTTTAGGAGTTGGGAAGGGAAAAGAAAGTCAGCTGCAGAGAAAATCGAGTAACAATAGCACCTCATTTACCTGTCTGTGTAATATGATGTTAGTTTGTTCTCTTGGGGTCAAGGACTATGTCTTGCTCACACACACACATCCTCAATGGCTCTTAGGGCCTGGTGCATAACAGGTATTCAATGGATATCTGTCCAGTGAGATAATTACTAGGTTCTGTGCTAAGCATTACCAATAACTTGGCCCAACCAGTTATTATTAAAGTGCCTTTAATCCCAGCACTGGGAAGGCAGAGGGGCAGGCAGATCTCTGTGAGTTCAAGGCCAGCCTGGTCTACAGAGCGAATTCCAGGACAGGCAGGACTACACAGAGAAACTCTGTCTCAAAAAAACCAAACCAAACCAAACTAAACAAACAAACAAACAAAAACAAAAACAGATAACTTGATCTATTTTACAGATGGGGAAATAAAGGCTTCAAGAGGTTAGACTAAACACCCATAGCTAATTGGCTGGTTTCAGGTCTGGACCTTGTTCCTGGACCTATCTGCTTCTATTATAATCAACTACTACTTTCTCTCCACTGTCAAGGAAGGCTTCCCGCAGCAGGTGTACTGGGCAGGGCAGGGCCAGATAGATATCATTGCTCTGGACTCCCTCACCTGGGTCTCAGGTGGCTGCGTCCCAGTCAGGAGGCTCCTGTCGTTTCTGGCTTGCGCTGCTTCCCATCTCTCCAGGTCTCGGTAATAGATGTCAAACACACAGGGCGAGCAGCCACTGCCGCAGCACTGGGAGGCCAAGGGCTCCACAGGCTTCAACTTCAGCCAAGCTTCGGCATCACCGTCCTCCCTCTCATCCATCGTCAGCGGGGCCTGGGCAGTATGGGAGAGGTAACTGGAACAAGCCAGGCTCTCCGTCACTGTCAGCCTGGGAGAAGGAAAACACGGGGGTCATACTCTGTCCTTCTCTGTCCCTCACATTGTCCCCAAGGCCTGCCAAGCTGTAGGGACAAGGATGGCTCAACCAGGGATCTGCTGTCAGATGAGCCACACTTCCTACTTACAATCACTGGGGTTTTGTGTGTGTGTGTGTGTGTGTGAAATAAATCTCAGCGGAGAAGGGGATCTGGCTTCCGAAAACCTTTCCTGCTGTGCATGCAGCTCTATGACGTCAGTATGTTTCTGAGGCCGGGGCACCAGTGAGAACAAGGTTGGTGTCTTACTCTTTCTGTATTCTCCTGCCAAACACCTGGCATACAGGAAGCGCCTCCTAACTGTTGAGTGTTTACTCTGTGGTCTGGGAGCTAGGCACAGGATTGGGTCCTGGAACCTGACAGCAGCAAACAGGACACAGTCCCTGTCCCTGTGAAACCTGGCAAGGTGCTGCATCTGTCCAATCAATCCATCTTTACAGCATGCTATGTCTTAGATACATAGTAACTGAGGCCTCTCTTCATGCCAATTACTCTCTGGGTCTGGGGAGGGGTGTACTCAAACAAGACAAGTGAACACGCTTTGTATAAACTGCTGTGTGGTGTTAGCCATACTGCCCTGTTTGCCTCCTTCATGGAGTTCACACAGTCCTACTGCTTCAGCTATTTTGAAATTAGTAGAGAAGCTAGCCCCGTTAATCACAATTTAAAAGATTTATTTATTGTATAGGAGTTCTCTATCTGCATGTACCCCTGAGCGCCAGAAGGGGGTATCAGATCCCAGTGTAGATGGTTGTGAGCTATCATGTGGTTGCTGGGAACTGAACTCAGGACCTCTGGAAGAGCAGACAAAGCTCCTAACCGCTGAGCCATCTCCCCACATGTTAAAGACATGGTTCCTTCCCAGCTAAGAGGCAAGATCCCTGTTGCAGCCTCGGCCTAGATGCCTATTCTTACTCTTCCGGCCTTGGCTGAAAAGGTCACCTCCCCTCAGAGGCCCTTCCCAAGTGTTCCCCTTGTGATTACCAAGCACCTTATTTTAGTATGTGTTCACTTGTTAAACATACACTATGCGTCAGGCAACTGCTCTAGGAACCCGGGACACAGCAGTTGCCTGAGCTCATTAAACAAAAGGAAAATGCAAAGCAACTTTGACAGTGGCTGAACGAGAGAAAAAGACCTAGGGAAATGGACGAAGCATGTGTGCGTGTTACCGCTGTTCACGTACACTCGGTGGCCTCCAACCCTAAGGTCTACGCGGCCGCCCGGTGCTTAGCACAATACCCTCCAACACACAGCGAGCCTGCCAGAAGCAGGGGCTGAGCAAAGGAGCGGGTTCCGGCACTTGCCGTGCCTCCGGGAAGCGAAGAGGGCATCTCAGGAGCAGGGCAAAGGTAACTCGCAGGGCCGAGCCGCAGTGCGAGCAGTCTGGTGCCCAGATGGCGAACGGGGACGCAGGCCACTCTGGGAAGCCACAGCCGGGGAAGCTCGGGCAGCCGTAAGAAGGGTGGAGAGGAGGACCCTTTGCGAACCCACTAAGGCGTCGGAAGGCATTTCAACTCCTCACTTTACAGCGACGGAGACTGGGACTTCTCAAGCTCTAAGAGTCTACAGTGGTCAAGGACTCGTAAGTAGAGGTTTGAGGTCCCAGCACTCCCTCCGGTCCCGCCGCAAGGACCACCACCGCTCAGCTACCCACCTGCAAGCGTCCTCCCTTGAGCTAGCGCAAAACACCGCGCAGAGAGCGCTTCGCGGGTTCCACCAATAAGGATGGGAACTGCCCGGGGGCGGGGTCAAAACAAGGATATCTTAACTGTGATTGGTTGACGTGTCTGCCATTCTCAAAATGAGGTATGTTGTTTTTTGCGCCCAGCCCCTTTCGCTCCCAGCAGGCCCTGCGCGGGGAAAGATGGCGGCGTCCATGTAGAAAGGTCTTCTGGAAACCTAGGCGGTATGGCGTTGGCGTCCGGGCCCGCTCTGCGAGCACTAGCTGGCTCTAGGAGGCTCGGCCTTGGCGGCTGCGGAGCCCCGAAACGCGGGGCGTACGAGTGGGGTGTGCGCTCCGCGCAGAAGCCCAAGCCTCGACACCTGCACCGGGTACACGAGATCCCGGGGCTGGAGCCCATTACCTATGAGGGGAAGATGCATTTCGTCCCGTGGCTGGCGCAGCCGATCTTCCCGCCGTGGGAACCTGGCTGGAACAACCCATGGCTCCACCGCCGCCCGGCACCGATCCACGAGCATCAATTGTACAAGGACCAGCCTTGCTACATCTTTCACCAGCGTTGCCGACTCCTTGAGGGTGAGGCCGCAGGACAAACGGGCGGAGACCGTGTTCTCTATCCAGCACTGACCCCAAGGCTGGGGTCACGGTTTCTTCCTCTGCGAAGTAGAACCAGAATAACATCCATCTTCTAAGAGTTGTCGGGATCAAGTGGGATATAAAGGGCAATGTTTGTGAGAGAGAGCAATGGGGAATGGGAGCCTCATTTCACAGGCTCGCCAGCTGCAGACAGAGAGATGATAGTGAAGCCAGGTCTACAGGGCTAGTTTCCTAGGTCAGTGTCTTTTGTTAAAGGTCTGGGATTGTTTTCAAAAAAGGGATTTGCACCCAAAAGGCTACCCACTTAGGGGCCCGTCACTCTTAAAAGCAGATCACAATGTCTTGAGCCTATTGCAGAGTTCCAGCCTGATCTACAGAGTGAATTCTAAGACAGCCAGGGCTGCATGGAGAAACCCTGTGTCAAACCCCTTCCCCCCAAATGTCTTGAGCCAAAACCAATCTGTTTCTCGAGAGTAGCTTCTGGAATTATTTTCCGGAGTTGACCATTAAGAGTGCCTTTCTTCTTCACCCACATCAGCATGAGGAGAGGGCAGATCCTAAAAACAAAAACAGTTGAGGTATGTGAGAGTATTTTCCAAAGGATAACTAGAAAATGAATAGATCTAACAGGTTTAGAGCTAAACTAAGAGAATCAATTATAAGTTTGGAAAAAAATCAATAACCTTAGGCCAGCCTCCTAAAATGCCCACTCCTGCAAGCTGATTTTTCTAGCCATTAGCCATTTTCAGTGCACTCAGAAGGTGCTGTGAAGGCTCTCACATGGCATGACTCCTTAGTGGAACCCTGGTCTTTTTTTGTTTGTTTGTTTGTTCAGATTGTACTCATTGAACTAGCCTGAGAATGTATCTCCTCTTCTACACCTTCTCAAGTTACAGAGAGGTCTTATAAAGTTACAATAAACCTTGCAAGACATGGGCCTGGGAAGCTGATTGGGATTATGGAGAGAGTGAACTGTAGGGTAGACAGGTTCAGTTTCTCCTTTTACCTTCATCACCTTAAAGATAAGCGACTAGAAGCAAACTCCTCTATTTGTCCAAATTTCCCCCTTCCTGTCATAAACTCCCATCTAATTTATAGGTCCATTCGTGATACAGAAGTGACATTCAGTAAATGGCAGCTCTGAATACTGCATCTTCTGTGTATGTGCTAGAGAACGATGAAACTCGGCTCTGGGATTGCTAGCAGTAAGCATCGCAGAGCTGGGGTCAGCTGATCAGGCAGCTGCCTTTTTGTAAATAAAGTTTTACTGGGATACAACCATGTACACATACCAATTACTGCCCCTAGCTGCACTTGTGGACCAATAGCAGAATTGAGTGGCTTTACTGGACTCAGACCTAACAAATGAGAAACATTTGGTATGCTTGGGTTTTTCTAGTCGGTGTTTGGATGCGGATTACTGAAAGGATTCTAAGTGAAGGGCTGCCCTCCACCAAACTGGCCTCACAGCTTTGGTTTGTCTGCCTGGAGGGGGTCAGCAGGGAATGCAGCTGCCTTGAGCATAGTTTGAACCCCTGTTATGGCTGGCATTCATTCCCATATCGACTCACTCTTCCTGTCACCATTCCTGAAGTTGAGTTGTAATCTGGATCTATGTTTCACTTTTGGTTTTGTTCCTCAGATGTCTCAAAACAAACCCAGCCCTCTCTTGAGGCAGCCTTTTCTGCATGGTGCTACCTGGCAGGCATGAACATCACTTCCTGAGTTGTCTTCTCTCTCTCTCTCTCTCTCTCTCTCTCTCTCTCTCTCTCTCTCTCTTTTTGGTTGTCCCAAAGGTATGAAGCAGGCACTCTGGCTTACTAAGACCAAGTTAATAGAAGGCCTTCCCAAGAAAGTACTAAATATTGTTGATGATCCCGCGAATCACGTAGAAAACCAAGATGAACGAGTTCTAGATATCATCTCTCATGCCCGTCTCTGGCACTCCACTGAGGACATTCCCAAGAGAGAGACCTATTGGTGAGTTCCCTCCAAGTAAGATAGCTTTCCAGTTGAGGAGTACTAGAGTTAAGTGTTGCTTTAAGTCTCCAATTTTTCTTTCCCCTCCAAGCCCAGTCATTGTGAACAGCCTCATACAGCTGTGTAAGTCCCAGATTTGCAAGCACCCTTCTTTGGCCAGGCGGATCTCTGCCCAAAAGTACTACTTGTGCACCACTTGGAACCGAGGTTAGTCATTCTGTATACCAGAAGGCCTTGCTGGGCTTTGTGTTTGTTGTTCGTTTAAACTCTCTTCTGCTCTCAGCCCCACCATCAACCCCCCGCCCCAACCCCCTCCGTTCTGCTCCTGCCACATACTGTGGGTTCAGAAGCACCTACTAGGGTCTCGCCACATAGCACTGGCTGTCCTCAGACTTGTGACCCTCTGTTCCGCACCACCATGCCCAGCTTCTGAGACTTTCTTCACCTGTTGACAGCTGACTGTATCCATTGAGTACCTGCAGTACGCTTGGGATTGTCCAAACGCCGAAGACAGGGAAACAATCAAATGCATTGGTATCTGCCCTCTCCACACTCAGCAGCTTTCTTTCCCTTTCCATGTCGGCATAGCTGCTGGAGTTCTCACAACGCAGCAAGTCCTTTTTGTGTTCCCATCGTTGGAAACCCAGCGTTATCGTTTACCATGGGATGCAAGGCCCTCCAGGCTGTGGCCTCCACCTCGCCCAAGCCCTGCCACCTGTTCTGCTGCCCCCTTGCCACATCCCTGAGTTTGTCACAGCCCTTTAGTGGCCAGCTTCCCCACCTGTTCGCTTTTGAACATGCTCTGTGCCTGGCAGCGCACGCTGATGTTTCAGACGGCAGTGGCAGCCCAGGTGTTCTAAGTGATAGACTTGTGGAGCGAGGAAACCAGCTGTGGAATTCCTGGGACTTGGGATGTCCGTCTGATCAGGTTTCCTCATTTCCCCCCTCTGCACACCGACTTCTGGCAAAGAGTCAGCCTGGCAGAGGTAATGGCACCACTAAGGAAATTAGTGCACCTCATTAATGGAGAGTATTCGTTGGCCCACTGTCAAGTATTACCTCTAATTAAACTGCCCCGTTTTGAGCTGTCACTGGAGGAGGGATGTGGAGGGAATTGAATTAGAAACCACACTAGAGTGATCTGTGGGGAGAATCTAAAACCCAGGGTTAGGAGAGGTCCAGGCACATTTGTTAGAGGAAACAGGAAGTGCCTTAGGAAACCAATATCTTGAGGTGCATTTACTGCAGAATTTATCCATTTGCAGATGTGGCGTACATTTTTTTTTTAACGTATCTTGCGAGACTTCACTCTAATGAAATGACAGTGCTGTTGACCAAACCAGTTTCTCATCTTTCGACAGCCCTAATCTATTCCCTTCACACTGAGACTTGACTCTGTCTGAAAAACCAGGCACCTGCAGAGGGCAGTGCCACTCAGAGCCACTCAGGTGCTGACAACAGTCTTTCCAAACACGCTTTGTCTGGCGGTGGCATGTGGCTTCCCATGGGAACAGTGTAGATGACATCTCCACACATTCACAACGGGCTTACTGATTAGTTAGCTGTGTTTTCCCGTGACCACCTGTATCCCTATGGAGTACACATGCTAATCCAACTTACCCAAGGCTCCCTGATCTGCCTGGCTCTTCTCAATCTGTTGTTAAGAAGACTCTGGCCCTTTGCCTGGGTTTGAGCCATCCCCCCTTTGCCCCTGCTCATAGCATGTCTCTCTCCGTGCCTCTTATTCTCCAACGTCAGCTCCAAGCCTCCCTGCTTTGCTCCTCCGGCTTTTGCGTGCTGCGTCTTCATTTTTAGTGCCAGAGTGTTCCCACCAGAGACATGGTCATGACTTAGATGGCATGAGAGGATGGCATTGGACTTCTAGTGGCCAGAGGTGGGGCTGCTGCTGAACACGTACATGCACGGTACAGCCCCTGGAGAAGTAGCTGATCCCAGAAGAGACCCACCCTCTCCCTCCTCAGATACCTTTGTGGTTGTGTTTGGTTCAGCCTTACTGTGTAGCCCCGGCTGGCCATGAGCTCACTGAGGGCTACCTGCCTCTGTCCCCAAGCGCATCCTCAGCTGCCCAGTTTTAAGGTTTTGCTTCCTCCAGGAGGTGCGCTGGGCTTTGCAGAAGGCTCTATGTGTGCTTGCCGCAGCAGCGCTTCTCTTCTGAAGGGCTTCTCGAGGGCAAAGGGCAACTCTGCCTTAGTTTTGGGTCCTGGCCTGGAGCTGGTGCTTGGGAAGATGGAGGAGCCTCAGGGTTTATCAGAAGAGTACCCGGGGAGGAGAATGTTCTAGTTCCTCATCTCTCAGGGGCTCAGGATTAATGCCCTAATACCATATGTGTGACCAGGGCATACAGTCGTCCATATGGTCATCCGGAGAACCTGTAGCAGACCTGGCCTTGAGGATTGTGGGTGAGGAAAGCCTCATACAGCAAGAGCTGTAAAGAGACAAAGTTAGACTAATCACCTTTTCCCCATTTTAGAGTCTCTTCTCCTTCAGGTCCGAGGTACTAGTGGTGCCATACTGAGTGCCAAGGATCCGCTGCCCACCATTGCCTCCCCAGAGGAGGTCGAAGCTACCAGAAGTCATGTTCTGGAAAACTTCTATCCCATCTCTCCTACCATTGACCTTCAGGAATGCCATGTTTATGATGTGAAGGATGACTCAGGTGAGGAGCAGAGCCTTGGATTTGCAGCAGTACAGACATAAGGGACTTAACTAACTTTTTAAATTTTTTTTATTTATTTCTTTTTAAGGAAAAGCTATTTTAACAGTTCTGGGTGTTGGCACCACAAGTGTCTTCTAGAGGTTATATGACAGCCCATGCTTCTTTTTCTTTTTTTTTAAAAGATTCATTATGTATACAATGTTCTGCCTGCTTGTACACCTGTATACCAGAAGAGGGCACCAGATCCCATTATAGATGGATATGAGCCACCATGTGGTTGCTGGGAATTGAACTCAGGACCTTTGGAAGGGCAGCCAGTGCTCTCAACCTCTGAGCCATTCTCTCCAGCCCCCAGCTCATGCTTCTCAACTCTTAATCTTCTGTAGTTTATGTTAAGGAATCATTTCCTCCCGGAGGTGCTGAACTTCCAGCCTCAATCTGTGACTTTTCTTTTGTGTTCTCATGGTCCCTGAGTCACCCTGGACCTTGCCACATCTCTGTGCTTGGATGTGATTGACTTTCCTATCTGGTTCCCCTCTAGAGTGTAAAAGCCTTGCAGGCAGCAGCGGGCTCCACTTGGGCTCTCCTTGCTTCCTTCCCTGGGCTTGGAGTGAAATGTGTGCTGGGCGTCCACACGCTGCAGAGTGGAGCAGCCTGAAGGGCCAGGGCCTGCAAGAAAGTCTGGTCACTCAACTAGCACTCTTCTCCAGGTTTTTCAGAGCCCATCATGTCCCCAGGGTTTTCCTCCTTCATCTCTGCCGACACTCACTGGTTCCAGGCGCTTACTCTTGAAGCCCCCAGTCCAGCAGAGATTTGTTTATAGCCACTCAGAAGAGGTTCATGACCTGACACTGTCATGTCTGAAGTGAACAGGCACTAAATTGAAGTTGTGAGGTACAAGGCAAACCATTTGTTACTTACTAATAGTAGAGTCCTGACGTCTGCCTTCTCTTTAACAATCACAGCTTTTAGTATCACTGTTGGCTGTGCACTTGGATGAGAGCAAATGGATGGAGTTAGAATGTGTGTGTAGGGAGCACCTGTACAGGTTGGCAAGCATTTTCGGGAAGGAGCCAAACAGTAAGATTTAGAGCATTCTGGATTTTCCAGGCACCTTGGCTTCCTTTCTCAGCCCCTCAGTAGCCATCCATAGATCTGTGAGCATGACCTTGTCTTAGTATCCCTTCAAGTCCTCAGTCCCTGAGCCACAGTCAGGGGAACTCTCCTGGGGCTCTGTGGCAGGCTGGTGAGTCTGTGTCACCTCACCCCTCCTGTCTGTTCTCTTGCAGGATTCCTGGAAGGCTATCCTTACCCTCATCCCCACACCTTGTATTTTCTGGAGAACGCCAATTTAAAGCCACACCGCTTTCTCCCAGAACAGCTAAGGGCCAAGATGCTCCTGTTTGCCTTCGCGAATGCCTTGGCTCAGGCCAGGCTCCTTTATGGGGTATGTGTGTGGAGAAGACCATGGAATTGCTTTCTGTGTGGTTGGCCTGTGTAAAGTCTACTTCCAGGAAGAATGAGTGGGCACTGACTTTGAGTTTGATGGAGGGATCTCAGGGAAATGGACTTCCGCTTGTAGCAACCAGGTGGCCTCTCCTGGGAGCTGACACGGCTTATACTTTGTCCAGAAACAGTGGGCCTCTGGGTGTCATTTAGAGCTCCACTCTCCAGTATGCCATAGGACCAGGGAACCAGCCACTTCACCCTGTGTTTCCCAACAGGAAGTGTGGAGAAAGGGCAGGAACAAGGCACACCCTACTCAGAAGCCTATGGATGCCTGGGTTCCACAATCTAGTCTGCTCTGCAGGGTCAGAACCAGCGCTCACAGCACCATCAGGAGGCCCAGGAAGTGACGGCCCAGGCAGTTCACTACTCAGAGACCCAAGATGCCACTTGGTGGTAGCCCTCCATATTAAGAGGAAGTCCCAAGACCTAGGTGGTGGAGAGTGGAGGCGGAATGGTTGTCCCAGAGCGCTGTCTCTGGATGAGGAAAAGGCCTGGTGGGGGTATAGGGGTGGGAACACGCGGTGTGTTTCTGAGGGCTCCTGCTCTTCTCCCGGGTCTCCATTAGAACCTAAGGCCCAAAGCCCTCCTGGGAGTGGCACAATTCAGATTTCCCTCCATCTTGCCTGGTCTAGGTGTCAGCAGGTTGGGGCTTGGTTGGCGGCATGAGAGGGCGGTAGAATGAACTGCCGTTGAGCACAGTTTTTGACCACCTGACACATCCCTCATAGTAACAAACTATTGACATTAGTGGTTCTCAAGACACAGTTCTGGAGGAGCATTGGGACCTTCTGCGGGAACTAGATGGACAGGTACTTCCCAGACCCACTGAATCGGAAGTTCTGAGGTGGGACTCAGCAGTCAGTCTTTTAAAAAGCCCTCTAGGTGAGGCTGGCGCAAGCTTGCATTTGGAAACTCTGCTCTGAAGTTTGAGGACTGCCCACATGGCTTGTCCTTTGAACAACCCTGTGTGGCAGGTGCTGCTCGCCTCACTTTGTGGATGAAGAGGCAGGCTCAGCAAGGCTAACTTGCTGTACGCTCCCGATCATACAGCCGAGAGCCTTCGAGTGTGCTAGGGATAGTCAGTGGCAGAGAGCCTTTCCAGCCCGTTCGAGGCCCTGGGTTCCGTCCCCAGCATGGTAAGAAACAGAACCAGAAAGATTAGCAGTTATGGCTCTTCATGTGGCCCTTATGTCTTAAAAGCGGGAGGGAAGGTGGGCAGCTGAGTACTTCGCTCGCTGTATACTTCCTGAACTCTAAGATAAGGTACATCACCCACGATCCCACAGCTTCTGAGTGGGAAAGCAGAGCTTGAGCTGTGATTCCTACAGCTTTGCAAGGACTTGCTGCCTGCAGGTTAGGCAGAGGAAGGAAGCAGCCGCTTGCCCTGTGCCAGGCCCACAGGCTCAGGGTAGTCTGGCAGCCAGTGCCAGAAGGGCCTAGGTAGCGCTGATGACTAATTGCTATCCAGTTAGACAGGAGAAGCAGCCTCTCCCACTCTCTCCAGGTACAAATCATTCCTGGGGCTGCAAAGTTGAGCAGTTATGGGAAGAGGCTCCATGTAAAAGGTAAAATTGCTGAGAAATTTATGTACTACCTGCAGTTTTATTGATCTGTGGAGGGAGATAAGAGTCAGTACAGAATCCCAGCTAACACTTGCAGGTGCTTCTCTTTATTTATTTCTCGTGCAGCTAAGAACAGGTATTTATAAGACCAGCAGCTCTGGTGTGTCGCACACTTAGGACTTCCATTAGCTAGTCCTAAAGTCAGGTGAACCCTGGAGGCAAGGCGGCAGGAGTTTTGCATCAGGGATGCCCTGCGTCTTGGGGTTCAGCTGTGGGGTCTTTGGCCTGGATCAATACAAAGTAGGCCAAGGCAAGCCATAGAGTTACCGGACAGGAACACTTAAGAACAGAAGGGACAGTGCTGTCAGATATGCTGGGTCCCCAGGTGTGCACAGGAACCATGGGGTGACCTGACAGCTCATGCCTCAGGCTGCCCTTGAACAAAGCTGCCCAAACCTCAGCTTCTTTGTGAAGCGGGAGTATGTGAGAGTAGCGAGTGGGAAGCAGGCGTGGGGCCCGGCGTTTGGGTGAGCTCCCGTTCAGCTTTCAGGAGTACCAGTGACGCCAGGCCCACGAGAACACAGCAGATGGCGACTTGTCTGCGGTCTCCAGGATCTCAGAGGTCATAGAGGTCATAGAGACCTCAGACAAGTCGGGTTACCTGGTTGGGTCTGCCTCCTCATCTGTCAGACGGAGTGAGACCCGAGTGGTAGGCCTGGTCACAAACTTCCAGGTTAGCCTTTGCTAGCTGATGGCACTCTTGTCTTATCAGCTGAGGCAGAGGTGCGAGGGATCCCTACCCCTAACCTCCCAGCTCACCTGCCTGAACTTCAAGGCTTGCCCAGTAGTCGCCCCTGCGCTGTGGGAGTTACTACTGGAATTGCAGAACAGGTTTCTAGGGCCTTGAGGCAGAGAAGACTGGGCTAGGTGAGGGGAGGCCAGTCTAAACGAGGGGAGGCCAGGATAGGTGAAGGAAGGCCTGTCTGGGTAAGGGGAGGGGAGGCTGGGCTATAAGGGGAGGCTGGGCTATGGACTGTGAACTCTTCCTTTGGCCCTACCTGCTGTGAGGTGAAGCCAGAAAAAGGAAGCAGGTGGGTGCTTTAAAGGGTAGACTCGGCTGCCTGGTACGCACGGTTCGCTACACAGCTTGTTTATCTGTCCTCTTAGCACACTGCCAAGGTCTTGGAGCAGCCCATCGTCGTGCAGAGCGTGGGCACTGACGGCCGTGTCTTCCAGTTCCTAGTGTTGCAGTTGAACACCACAGATCTGGCCTCTAATGATGGTGTCAAGAATTTGGCGTGGGTGGACTCGGACCAGCTCCTTTACCGGCACTTCTGGTGTCGCCCAGTCATCAAAAAGAAGGTGGTGGTGGTAAGTCCAGCTGCTCCAGCCTGGAGATGCCAACAGGGCCTCGACTCGTCCCAGCCGGGGTGAGCCTTGTTGGTCGGGCCTGGTCTGCCAGGACGGCCTCTAGGGACTGCACACTCTCACCTGCCTGCCCCGCTCTTTGGGTCCTGCTGTGTCTACTCCCCCACCTGCCCCAGTGCCTTGGGGGGCCCCGTGACAGCACAGTCACATCGCTGCCCTGAAGGCAGGCCCATGAGCACTGCAGCCCCTGCCTGCCATGTGGGCCTCCTCCTGGGCCCCTGCCCCTGCTGCACTCGGGCCTCAGCTGAGAGTCCACCTGGTGTTGGGCAGTGGCAATGGTGGTGTCTACAGCAGCTCAGGCTAGGATGCAGCAAGAGGCACTCAGGGTGAGCTCACAGCACAGGGCCTGTGTGCTCGTGACATTGAGTGGCCTTTCTGTGGTGACTTCTCCAGCCTGTCAGTGTGTTTCTCCCCCTGAAATGCTGTGGGAGTCTGGACCCTTCTCTGACCCCCGCCCGCTCGTGTCATGTGCGGTCAGTAGCTACCCTCATCAGTCACCTCCCGCCAGTCAGTTGCAAGTGTCTCCTCCCTCCTAGGCCTCGGGCTGTCTTCCTCCTAGAGTATGAACTCTGTAGTGAGCTGTTGGCCAGGGCTCCCACTTAACCTCTCTAGTCCCATTTCCTGCCTCTGTGCCCCGCCACTGTAGGCTTGGGTTCCAGTCTTGCCTTTGCCTATATTTGTGCACCTGGACACTGCTCTGTCTAGATCTCCTTCCTTTCCTTTTTCTTCCGGGCTCGGTCCCCGTCCCCTTCCTGTGTGAAAGTCAGTGAGTTAGTCACACACACGAACACCCTTAGTATCCTTGTATTGTCTCTGTATTGAGTCTAGCACCTCTTCTGGTCAGTATTTAAACAACTGATTGGAAGTTCCTTGCGGATAGGAGCCAGATCTACATCCGTCCTGGGCCTCTGGCAGTGAGAGCAGGAGCCTGCAAGCCAGAGTATGGGATTCTTGTCACTTCCTAGTGGTTGGAGTGAGGGGACTTAGGGAGCAGGGCCGTGTCAACAGATGACAGGGAACCCTCTGCCCATCTATAGCACCAGCTCCTTGGTGTCCTTGTTCAGAGAGCTGATGTGGGAGAAAGGCTGTGATTGGCCAGGCACTGATGAGGCTCAGGAGGGTTGCCCGTTTCCTTTGCAGTCCTGAAACCTGGTAGCAGGATCCTAATGGTCTGTGTTTTTTTCCAGGAACCCGTTGGGCCTGTTGATTTCCAGCCAGAGACATTCAGGAAGTTCTTGGCTCTGCACTTGCATGGTGCTGTGTGAGCTAAGAACCTTCTGGGGCCTGACGCCCTCCTACCTTGCTGCCTCTGAAGAGCTTGTGTCCTGCCTGGGATGGCGGGGCCTGGGCCTGGGCGAGCCTCCCACTCCCTCACGGTCTGGTGGTCTCACTGGCAATAAAGAGTGTTTGTGTTGCATTGGTGCCTGCACTGGCGTGAAGCTGTCTGTGAGGGGCCGTGCACAGACCGTGCCTCGAGCTCCTGCCTCCTACAGGTCCTGAAGCAGCTGCGCTTTGCACTCAGGCGCACTCGACTGAGTGGTGCCAGAGTTCCAGTTTTCATGTCTGAACTGCCCACAGAGTTTTGGGCTCTCCCTCCCCATGCCCCGTGCATGTGTTTATGTCTGTCTGTCCCTCTCCCTCTCTTTTTTTCCTTGTTTTTGTTTTGTTTTGGAGAGAGGGTTTCTCTGTACGACAGTCCTGGACTCACTTTGTAGACCAGGCTGGCCTCGAACTCACAGCCTTTGCCTCCCAAATGCTGGGATCGAAGGCATGCGCCACCACACCTGGTCCTTTCATTCTTTGTTTTTGAGACAAGATACTGCTTTGTAGCCAGCCTTGCCTTGAACTTGCTGTCCTCTGACCTTAGCATCAAAGCACTGGGATTTCAGGCATGTGGCATCTCGCTCTGTCCTGCCTTGTTTTTTGCTTGCTTTCTTTCAGAACTAGGGCTGGAACCTGTAGAAAGCACTGTCCACTGAGTCACATCCTGCCCCCTTTCTAATTTTGGAGATTCTAGGTTATCAGTGTTGGCCGTCCTCTCGGCAGGTGCTCTAAACGTGCTGGGTTCTTACAGGAGTTTTCTTTGTAATGTATAAGGGTTCTGTCTGTGTGTGCCTGTGCACCCACGGGCCTAATGCCCAAAGAGGTCAGAAGAGGGCCTCAACTCCCTTAGAGCTGCTTACGGCTGCTTGTGAGCTGCCACGTGCGTGCTGCGAACTGGACCTGCCTCCTCTGGGGAGCAGCACTGTTCGTAACTGCCTGCCGAGCTGTTCAGATTGTGTGCACATTCCGCGGTGACCGCAGAGGCGCTGAGAGTGTTCATGTGCATTCCTAGCTTCCTGGCCAGCTGGCCTCCAAATGATGTTAAGTCCTACTTGACATGGCGCCGTGTACTCAGCAGGGTAGCTGGACGGTAAATGCCGTCAAGAAAAGCACTGTGACGGGATGTGGAGGGCACAGGTCCTTTCGTCCGGGAGAAGCTGCAAGGAGTGGACCACATTCCCACAGCTGATGTTTTGCGTCAGCTTCCCTAGTACACACCTCGGGACAGAGACCCATGTGTGGAAGTTTGGGGGGCGGCTAGCTAGGCCCAGCACCTGTGGGGGCAGGTGGCAGCAGTAGAGACAGAGCTTGCCCAGAGTATCTGTCACACCTGAGGCTTCAGTGGGGTCCCCAGGACCCTGAAGCCACATTGCTCAGACATGGGTGTCTACAGGCACCGGCGGCTTGTCAGATCGCTGGTAACTGCCACTCCCACAGAGGGAAGGGCGGCTCCCTGCGCACTCAGGCTTCCTGCAGGAAGAGCCCTGAGAGCCGCTGGCGCTGGGTAACGTCAGCGAGTAGTGGTAGCCGCTCCAGGCCGTGCTCTCCCACGTCACAGCTAGCTTTCGGGCTTAGCGGGGGCTTCGGGACTGGGGATGTGCGCAAGAAGGAAGATGTGAAGGAACCTGGCGTGTCAGGTGCCTGGGGACAGGGAGTGTGAAGGTTGGGGTGGAGGTTGGGTGGCTCATGAGACCTGGGACTTTCCAAGGGAGGTAGGCGCCTGGTATGGGCCAGCCTTTTAGCCAGTGTGACCTTTCCTTTCAGGGTGAGCAAAGATAGATACTGAGAGAATTTGGAGAACAGAGGTTACCCACCTCAAGGAACCCCTGGTCCTTTTCTCAAGGGGTGATCCCGTTTACATCCCACATGGCAAGCTTAGTGTCCTCGCCCACTTACCCTCGCTCAGTCTCGGGGCCCTGCCACACCAGCAGGGACGGCCCACCCCTACCTTCCTGTGCTGCGGATGTGGCCGTGGATGGCCAAACGGGTTGGTTCTGGGTTATTACAAAACACGGCAGCGAGCACCCCTGCCCAGGGCTGCAAGTCTGCTCTAGCCAGCACCGCCATCACGTAGATTGTTGGCAGTGGAACTGCTGAGTCAGAGGAAGTTCTCCCAACATGGGTGGACGCCCAGGGGATGAGCTGGCCGATGACCGAGAAGGCCAGCTAGAGGCCACTGTGGCAATTCTCCGCAGCGACGGTAGACGGGAATGGCTGGAAGCCTAGGGCAGCTCCAGTCCTTTGGGGACTGGCTTGTTGGCCGGGGAAGAGGGTGAAATGAACAGCCTAAGTGGGGGGTGGAGGCTCTCAATAAGCAGTCAGCTTCTGACCTTGACCTCGGGATGACCCAGGATGGGCCAAGTGTCACAGGGCTGGCAGTCCACAGTCCTTCTGCCTGCTGGCCGTTGTCCTATCTCATGGACCCAGAGCCCACAGCACAAAGAACCAACCTGAACACAAAGTGCAGCTTTTCTGTACCCAGGCAGGGGGGATATCCCTACCCCAACAGAGATGGGGAAACTGAGGACACTGAAAGGCCCACATAGTTTCCTGGTGAAGAACTGGGAAGTTCTCATGTGGTGACAACCACCATCTTTACAGAGATGAACTCCCCTGTGCCCAACCACCTTGTCTGTCTCTTCCGCTTTGCTTTCCTATGGGGTGACATTATTTCTGTGGCTCAGAGCCTGAGGACAGATGCCTAGCTGGCCAGCCTGCCTCTGAAGGAAGTGCTTTGTGGGGGGGGGGGGGAAGAGGAGGGACTCAGGACGTACGGTCATCCTTGGCATGAAATGTCCAGGGGACTTTAAGCAGTAGATCGGGGCCAAAATGACAGTCTCATAGTGAACATGAATGTGCCCAACCCATTACAAAGCTCATTCATGCTGAGTGGAGCGAGACACCTAAAAGCCAGCTACTTGGAGCTGGAAGCACGAGGTTCAGAGGTTGGGGCTCAGCCTACACTGGGGATTCCTGACCAGCCTGGGCTACACGAATCTCTATTTCAAAAATAAATAAATAAATAAATAAATAAATAAATAAATAAATAAATAAATAAATAAATAAATAAATAGTTTTTAAAGGACGAGGGAGAAAGGTTGGCTCCATTCAGTCCTGAGGGAACTAAGTCTAGCCTGGGAGGAGGCCATTCCCCAAAGCCTCCACGATCCAGCTCTCCAGTTCTCCTCCCCTGCAGAGTGAGCACCCCCCCCCCCCATAGATGCTTGCCAGAGGCCCCATGACTTCTCCTGGAAGGCTGGCTGCACAGGCTCAGCTCAGATGTTTGCTCAAACTGAGTCCCGTGAAGCAGGCGCAGGACCTGAAGGCTGTCCCTTTAACATGCCCACATGAAGGCTGACGGTCACCTGGCATAGGGAGCCCAAACCCCAACCCCCCATCCTGGGAACTTCCAGTCAACTCTCATACGTGCTCCTTGCCTCAGATAGCAAGTTGCCAGCCACTCCATCCCCGCTTGGCGGTTCACTGAGCATCTACTGTGTGCCAGACTTGGTACAAGGCTGTGGGTACCGAGCGGTCGAAACAGGCCCTACAGCCACAGTATTTGCATTTCTGCACAGCAGAGTCCTAACACTGAGGCAAGACAGGGCCACCCTGGCCCACATCAGCTACTGGCCACTGCCCAGGAGAAGGTAAGATCTGGAGGGAGGCAGTTTCCAGGAGGGACATACCGGGAACCACTAGCAGCTGGGGCTGTTGCCAGGCCTGGGAGGACCCATGGAGTAACAGGCCCTGTGAGTCAGTGATACAGGTTGAAGGCCTGAGCGGAGACCCAAGGAGCATCTTTGCCAAAAGAGGAGTGCAGGAGGCTGGGTAGCCAAGCCTGCAGAGACATTCAGGTGGCAATCCAGCCAAACTCAGGTTTGATGGCAGTGCCTATCTTCCGATTTGCCTCCCACACCCACCGCAGCTCCTAGGAACCAGACCTTCTCAAACATACCCACCACTTCTTCCCCAGCTGGCTTTCATACCCTCCCCCACAGGGCAATGCCCTCTCTGCACACTCCGCTCTGGTGGATAAGAGGAATGTCATGCTGTGCCTTCAGCTCCGGGACCTCAGCTCTGTCTGCTGGGCCACAGAGGAGGTGGGGATGAAGGTCCTCAGATGGCCTGGTGTCTCTTTCCCAGACCTGCGTCACCTGCCACCTCACAGAACTGGGCTGTGAGGAGGGCAGGCAGAGCGAGGCGGGTTCAGGATGCTGCCACCTGAGAGATCACGTTTCATGCCAGCTACCCCAGGCCACCGCTTACCAGACCCATCACCTAGTGAGTGGGTTTGCTGGCTAGGGCAAGACCTCCCTGCCTAGAGAATCCAGCCCGTGGAGAGAAATGTGCTCCTCAGAACACGTACATGATCCACAGGCTTCTAACCCAGCTTGACCAATGTGGGGACCCGAATGTGTCAGGGCTGCAGTCCTGAGGCTCCCCACAATGCATCTTTGGCAATTTAGCCGTCCACACTATTCTAGAAGTATGTACTGTGCGCCAGGCAGTGTGCTAGGATTGGAGACTCTATCCCCAGGGGTTCCCAGTCTGCCTAGTGGCCACAGAAGTAGCAGGTACCCACAAAGGCCACCTTTCCCCACACCCAACGCCCTGCCTTAACAAGCGCTGGGAACAGGCGTCCTGAGCATACTCCAGCGGTGACTGGCTCAGCAACCTTCAGTTTCCCCACAAACAGCCACTGAGCCCCTGCCAGGAGAAGGGCGGGCCCTGACTTAGAGAAGGCAAACACTGTCTCATTGGCACAGGCGGCGGCCACAGCTGAGGGGCTTCCTCATGGTGGGGCCTTGGTTCCAGGAGACAGATAAGGAAGGGACAGTGAGAACCAAGGCCTGGGTGACAAACTGCCAGGATATCACACACGGGGGAGGGGGGGTCAAGTGCTAGGCAGTGAGAAAGGCAAGAGATTCCAGCCCCCAAATGCCGCCAGGTGCCATGAGCTCTGACCCATGCCATGGTCCATCCGCTCCATCTCTACCCTCCTTTGCTGGGGCCCCCATTTCCATTTCCGATCACTGGAAATCCCAGAGGACCCATTTTCACTTATTGTCTGGATGACCTAAGCCTGTCTTCAGCCATCAGTCATTCAAATGCCAACAATTCCCTTAGTGGGCCACTAACACAGGCCTCAACACCCGACTTCTTTACTGCCTTTTTGACTCAGCGTAACCCACCCAAGAAGCTCTCCCACTACCTGCTTGGCCCCAAGGGGTGGCACCATCCTGCCACACCTGTTTGATTAGCAGGTAGGTGTCACTAAACACATGACAAATGAGTGAATGCAAAAGAGTGAGGAATCTCAGAAATACCATCTGTGTGGCACCGAAGGTCCAGAGTGGGGCCTGAAACCTCAACAGGAAGCTAACTGTTCAGGCCCCAAATGCCAGGGTCCGGGGTCTCACAGGGTCTTGGGAAGGGACAGGAAGAAGCCTAGCACAGGACAGAAAGGACCCCTCTCTATCTTTCAGCACACGGCCCCCAGTCTGTTTGTGCCCAGCCTCCAAGCACAATGCTAAGCCCACAGTGAGCCGGGCCCCTTCTCCCTGCCCAGCCCACAGCCATGTCCTGGAGGAGACCAGGTGGCTCACCTCCACACCAGTCAGGGCCGGAACAGTCACAACTCTGGAGGTGCCCATGGCTGTCTGGGGTGGGGGGCTGCAGTTTTAGAGTGGTTCCTCTGCCTTCCCATCGGTCAGGTCCTTGGGTAAACATGACAACCCTGACTTAGGCTCTCTGCTGGCTGTGGCTTTCAGGGAAAGGGCAGTCAGGGCATGTGTATGGGTCTCTCCAGCCAGGCCAGCTACCCTTTAGAGTCAGCTGCCTGTGCACAGCTGAGGACCAGCAAGGAAGTATAGGGACCCCTGCCACACCGGCCATAGGCGGACATCTCCACTCCAGTCTAAGCTTCAGTGCTTCCTTTCGGTAGCTTCATGCTGCTCAGGGCAATGCTCTGGCCTGGTCCTGATGTCTTGGGTTAGGCCTGAGCCATGAAATACAATGCTAGGTGAAGGAAGACCAGTCCTTTCCTCCAAGGCCAGGTTCTGGGTGGCCATCTGTGCTGGGAACCAATCTGTAGGGACTGCCCTGGGATCCAAGTGATGGGGTGTGGGTAAGGAATGCAGCGGAGGTCACCTGCCATGTCCTCTCCCGCACAACACCCTCTCTACAGTTCTTGTCTGGAAGCATAAACGAGGAAACTGCACTACAGGCAGCAGTGTGGTCGCCATAGTCTGCACCACCCACTGGTCCAGAGGGACGCTTCCCCAAGTCAGAAAAGCTTCCCAGCACCTTCCCGTCCCCCCTCCTTCCAAGTATGAGGTAACAGGAGCCGCTGGTGGCCAGCCCACACTGCTCGTCGTTGGTGCCTAGATGAAGAAACTGACGTCAGTCACGTCAGACTAACCTGCTCATAGTGACAAAGGCAAGACTCCAACCTGCAAAATTACAGTCTGGTCCCAAAGATGCTCGGAAAAGCGGAGAGCACTTTGCTCGAGCACCAGTGGCCCCCACCCGCATCCCTCAGGTATGGAAGATGTCCCAGGACGTCAGCTGAACTCCGTGAACCCCGACAACCAGCATCCGCTGCACTGCCAGCCCGTCTGTAAGCTGCAGGTCAGGCTGGATCATCCCTCAAGTCCTTTGCTCACTCCCAGTCCTTGCCTCTCCCACTCCCATGCCTGCCTGGAGACCGAGAAAGCACCGACCGACCCCCATTCCACCCCGTCAACCTGACACACCAGGCATCCGGGCATGGAGACTGAAAACAAATTCACCTTGGGGAGAAGGCAAGGTGTGGACACCCTGGCCTCTCACCAGTCCTGGAGCTGTTTTCTACTTCCAGAAGGAAAGCCTGGGAAGCTAAAGCCAGAAAACTGAAGCTGCCTCAGCTGGAGGCCTCTAAAGGGCTGTCCCAGGGCCCTCCCAAGACCACTGCATTCAGCACTGAAATCAGGTGCCAGGCACAGCCCCTCCTTCCTGATCAATATCATCAGCTCCTACCCCCAGCCACCCCAAATATGTCAGGAAGGGCTGCGGAAAAAAGATGTCCCTTTAATAAAACGTTATCAACATATATCGTACACAAACTACAATGTATCATAATTACTTTTTTTTTTCCTCTCATAATTCAGAACCAGACTACAAGGTAAGAAAAAACACAGAAACAGCTACAATGTTCCCAAGAATCCGCACAAGGTCTTTTTTCAGGCAGATGGTATCTCACATAATATGATATACATGGGTCAGAAAAGGGAGGTAAGAAAACAAAGACCAGCTACAAGGGTGGGCGGGGTGTGAGGAGGGTGTAAATGTACAAAGAATTCAGTGTCTTCCAGGCCGAGACACAGAGGTTGCCACGGGGCAAGGCCAGGGCAGCCAAGTCACCCCTCCTTGGAGGGGGCAGGCTCCACCACCGGGTTTGTCAGTTTTTGAAAATAAAAACAGGACCAGAAACAGCGTCTGTTTGGTTGCTGGAGCTCCCCCCACCCCCACAGCGATGCCGAAGTCTGTCCATCCAGTTCCAAGCAAATACAGAGCAATTCCAACCAATACCCATCTTTGAAAAGGGACGAACGGGAGAATAAAAAAAAAAAAGAAAAAAAAAGAAAAGAAAAACACAACTTTGCCTGCCCTGCTAGTGCGCACTATGTGAGGACCTCGGGGCCAGAACGCGGAGGACGGTCCTACGTCCCGGATCACAGCCATCCTGTCGGTGGGGCCTCTCCTACCCTGCCTGGGCCGCTACCCAGCCAGCAGGATGCTTGCCAAGGAGACGGTGGGGACCAAGGGACTCGAGGCCCCAGGGGCTGGGCACGAGAGGTCTGGAGAAGAGGCAGCCATCTTGGAACAGTGCACGCTGGCGGGCGACAGCAGGCCGGGTGCTCTGGGCCCTCTGGCCACAGGGTGGGGGGGCAGGGCTTGGCGATGTGCTGTGACGGCCAGCCAAACCAGGGCGAAGCGGACACCTGCATCTCCTCGCCCAGCGCAAACCCCAAAAGGTCAATGCAGAAACGGCTGACTTCGGTTCCTTTTCCCCAGACAGCTTTTGAAAGAAACCACCGACTGTAAACTGTCCAGTTTATTATTATTTTCAGATGGCTATGACGTCAGTGTGGCACTGCGCACCTAGGCTAGCTTTTCTGGTGGTAGGTCTTGGGGACAGACAGCAGGTCTTGTGGGGTTTTCTTCCTTTTTTTTTTTTTTTTTTGTTTTGCCTTTTTTTCTTTTTCCTTTTTTTTTTTTGTTTTCTTTTTTTTTAAAGAAGAAAGCAAAGAGGTTGATTGGGGGAGGGGCACAGGGCTTGCTAGAAGCTTCCATTAAAAAAAAATTCCCCAAAAGAATCCTCCCCTCAAAAACAAATTAAAAATCCCAGCAACGGTAAAATCCCCAAAAAACAAACAAACAAACAAACAAACAAACAAAAATAACCCAACAAAAAAGTGTCATGTACAGAAAGGTCCTTTTGGGCCGGGAAAGGGTGGGATTTTTCTGGTTGTTGACTTGAAATATCACTTTTGAGTTCTGTCCTTCATGTTTTATGGAATAAAAAGTTTGGCCTTTTTATTGCATGAAACTAAAATCGGGAAAGGTGGGGGAGCGGATGGGAGGGACGGAGGGGAGCAGGAGACGGCCCTCCCCCAGCTCCTGGTGGCGACGCCTCACTTCTTCTTGCATAATTTCTGGCATCTTCTGCCTGCAATGCCGGCTCTCAGCGTCTTGGAGGGGGAGGTCACACACTCATTGTCATGCTGGGGGAGTACTGTAGGGGAAAAGCAAGGTTGGGGATCAGGCCGGCTGCAGGCCAGCAGCGCTGGCCAAAGCACACCTGGGGAAGCAGAGTGGGCAGGGGCAGGTGAAGGAGGCGGGAACCAGCTGACAGCTCTGGGGACACCCTGGCAGCACAAAGGAGCTCTGGGGTCAGCTCTTCCGAGAAACCAAGACGACAGGAGGGAACTGGATTTAAGGAGTCGGGGTTCCTGCAGGGCGCTCAGGAAATCTCTGGTTGTATGACCCCACTGGGCAGTGCCGCCTAACCAAGTCAACCTAGGGCTCCCCCAGCCATTCTGCTTGCCTCCAGCCTCTGCACAGACCCCCTGGAAGGAGCAGGCAGCAGAGGACAGGCAGTGAGTGAGTGGCTGGGGCTCTGCAAGTGGGTGGAAACTAACTGAGGCGAACAGCAGCACGGTTTGCAGGCCCTCAGGCCTAAGGGAACCACAGGGACCTGAGGATCAGGAGTCAGGGGCTTGGGGCGGGGCCCGGGGGGGCTTACATTGTCGTTCTGGAAGGAGTGGAGGAAGTTCCCTCCTAGCTCGCCGTCATCCCGAGGGGTGCCCGGAGGATTGCTAATGCCACTTATGTTGTTAGGAGAATTCTGTGGAGAGCGAAAAGTAGGTGAGTCCACGCTGCGGAAACCTGACCTAGCGGATGGGGTGGTGTTACTGAGGGAGGGGACACCAGGCGTCACTCACTTTTGGAAGTCCATCTATGTCGCCTGATCCTAAGAAGGAAGAAGAATCTGAGTCAGGGTGGTGTTCTGGTTTTTTATGGGGCGGTGGGGGGAGTAATTGGTCCACGTTTTCATGTGTGTATGTGTGCACACTGGGGGAGGTCAGAGGTCACTGTCGGGTGCTCTCCGCCTGCCTTTTTGAGTCAGGGTCTTTCGCTGAATTTGGATTCAGCTTGCTGATTCAACTATAGATTGGCTGGCAGCGAGCCCTGGGCTCCTGTCCCTGCCTCCACAGCGCTGGTATTTTAAGTGTGTGCCACTGTATCTGGCTTTTTACGAGGGTGCTGGGGATCCAACCCAGGCACTCACGCTTGACAAACAAACATATCACTGTCTGCGCCATTTCCTGAGGCCCATGTGCCTCTTTGAAGCAGGGTCTTGCTACGTAGCCCCGCCATGGCATGAGTTAACCATGCCCTCACCTCCGTATCCCACGTGCTGAAATTAAAGACAAGCACCACGGTGCCCTGCTTGTTTCTTCTTCTTTCTAAACTGGGGGTTAAGTCTCATGCATGCCTTACTGAGTACTTGAATACTGGACTGCAGCTTTATTCCATTTGCTCTTTATTTGGAAACAGGGTGTTGCTTGTGTAACCCAGGCTAGCCCCAAACTTGTGACCCTTCTGCCTCAGGCTCCTGAAGGCCAGGACTAGGTGAATACCACTGTGCCTGGCCCAATTCAGATGCTGGATCACTTGTCCACTGGGATCTCCACCCTCTCAGAAGGACCCTTTCTTCTACGCCTCCTGGTGTGTAAGCTCACATCGTCTCTGCTCAGAGCCCTCCAGGCGTGTAGCCAGCAGCTTTCGATCGGGACCTTCCTAGGTGCCAACACTGTCCCGTGCGCAGGGGACGAAGGAACTAAGGCAGAGCATGCACAGGTGCTGGCTTACCTAAGGATCCGTTCATGTGGTGCGGCTCCATGCCGCCCATGCCTCCCATTGGGCCGTCTGAGCCAGGACCCATTGGAAACTGTGGGGTAAGCAAAGCACGGTTAGGGGACCCTCTTCTGCTTCCTGAGCACCCTAAAGGCTCAGGTGAGCATCCAGGATGCTCCAGGCTCCCAAGCACCCCAAAGGCTCAGGCCTTGGGCCCTTGCTGCTCAGAAGAGCACGCAGGATGCTCCAGGCTAATGGGTCTCCCTGGCACACTGAGGTACCAGGTGCTGGAGAAGGTTCCTTGTGTTGGCTTTGGGACTGCGAAATGGAGGGGTGGGGGTGGGGGTTTGGTTTGTGCAACAGTCAAATGAGCAAACTCAGAGAGAGGGAAAAGAACCAGACGAAAGCCGCCAGGCTGCACACACAGCCAGCTTGCCAGCTTCTTGGGTCTCCTCACAGGGCGTGATCCACTCCTGGTAGGTGCCTGGTTTACCAGCTACTGCTGCACAGAGAAGTATCTCGACTACGCAGGCCGGCCAGAATGGTTCAGACCTGTCGCCTGCATTTTACAGGTGAGAAAACCAAAGCTGGGCATGGGAAGTGATCTGCTTAGTCTCCTGGGGCACACAGGTGAGCCAGGAGTGGAGCAGAGGCTATACCTCAGACACGCTAAGTGACTAGGGGTTGGCGGTGAAGAAGCCGTGTCACTCCATCCTGCCTGCAACTGTCACAAGGCCACACCTTGTGCTCCTGAGGTGAGGCTGAGCCTAGCCTGGTGCCAGTCAGTGCCTGTGCAGGTGATTGGATGGCGGGCGGGAGGGGCTAGACATGATAGGACAGAGGGAGGACCACTGGGCACTAAGGTGCTGAGGACAGAACTGAGTGACACCTCTGTTCTAGCCCAGAAGTAGCCTGCAGCCACCCAACAGGGAAAGAGGTCAAACGCAGCCACAGAAAAGGCATGGCTGCAGTTTCAGGGGCAGTTGGGGAAATCGGGACGGGACGCATCGAGGTGGCGGCAAAGCCTTAACGAAAGGAACAGAATCTGTGTGAAAGAACAGGCTGCAGAAGGCACTCTGTGTGGGCAACAGGCCACAGGCCAGGAGGCGGCATGGAGAGAGAGCCGAGGAGAGGCCCCCTGTACTGGGGGCTTCAATAACAGCAGGGCAGGCTGGGGCCAGAGTAAGCCACTTCCTGCGCAGGGGCTCCAGCATCTTTGTTACCTTTTCCAGGCACGAATGTCATACTAGTTAGCTCAAATGATACAACGACGAAGGGGATGGTCACCTTATGGGGCTCCCAGGACACAACTGTCCCAGACCAGAAAAAAAAAGTGTTTAAAGTTGCTAACACAATACACACATCACACCATGTACAAATGCACGTGACTGTGCTAACATAGATATGACCAACACATAAAAATCAGGTCTTTTTGTTACAGGGCCTATCTCTACCTTCTACCTCTGCTTCTTTCCCCAACCTCGGAGCTGTCTGAGAGCACTGGGACATTCTTTACAAGGCCGTGCCTGCCTGTGACGTGTGGCATCGGCAAACAGCCGCGCACACATAGGCTATATGCCCCAATCAATGAAACCTCTTTTCACACAAAGAAATGGCACTCAAGCACAGAGGACACTTGAACTTGTGAGACCCAAGCTCAAGTCCAAGTAAGTTTTAAGACAGAAATTGAGAAAAGTCCTGTTGGACTTAACTTGGCTGCCCTTACCATGGCACTTCCTGAATTCTCCTGCAGTCTTTAGTGTGAGGTTTACTGCAAACGCTTAGGTGAGGCCACAGCCCTTTTTTATTCCAATTCCTTTTCTTTCCCTTTCCTCAACACTTTTCCGGATCAGATGTGGATATCCTTCTTGTCTCATAGTTTTGCTTTTGCAGTGTTTTGAGACATGGTTCTCACTGGCTAGCCTTGGCTAACATCAAACTTGCTGCTCTGTAGCCGAGGTTGGCCTAGAACATTTGGCAGTCCTCTTGTCTCACTGCCTCCTGAGTGTTAGGATGATGGGTGTGAACTACCACGCCAGCTTGTCCCAGCCTTAAAAACTCTGACTTGTGGGGTTTTTGCTTGTTTGGTTTGGTTTTTTTTTTTTTCGAGACAGAGTTTCTCCATGTAACTTTGACTTTCTTGGAACGCCCTTTGTAGACCAGGCTGGCCTCGAACTCAAGAGAAGTGCCTGCCCCTGTCTCCTGAGTGCCAGCCTAAGTCACCTCTGTTCCTCAAAAAATGTTAAAGCCAACATTTAGCCCTTTTCCTGTGGTTGCCAGCAATGACTGTAATCTTTTTCATGAGCATTGGTGTTTGGCCTGCACGTGTGTCTGGTAAGGGTGTCGGAGTCTCTGGAACAGGAGTTTCAGACAGTGGTGAGCTGCCATGTGGGTGCTAGGAATTGATCCTGGGTCCTCAGGAAGAGGACCACTGAACCAACTCCTAACCACGGAGCCATCTCTCCCGCCCCCTTATCTTACAGGTAAGGACCTGAGGCATTCTGACTCTAGAAAGTAAAATTTGCATCAAGTTCTTCTGCAGAGCGACAAGTGACCTGCCAGGCAGGCTCTTGTCACAGAAAGACAGCTATGCCCTTTGCGGACGTGGTGGTACGTGTGTATGAGGTGCTGCTGTTTCACTGGTGGAGCTTTCAAATGAAGTTGCCAAGAGTGATATTAAACTGTTGGTTGAATATGCAGATCGATGCCAACTCGAGCTTGGATTTGATAAGGGAACACATCTGCTTTCTGCAATTCCATTAAAAGCCTCACGGAAATCAAGATAACATAGAATTCCAGTACGTAAATCAAAGGACCAAGATTTTTTTTTTTTTTTTTTTTTTTTTTTTTGTGCTCTTCTGCATTTTAGGCATGTGCTCTAGCCTCAGCGTGCAGTCTTGGGTTACAGGGCTGGGAGGTATCCCTGGCATATTGTGGACAGTATGGCCGGGACATCCATTATCAGAATCCCTTCCCTTTGGTTCACACAGAGGACTTTCCGCCTCAGCCACTGGATCTGGAACACAACCGCCTTAGATCCAGAGCAATGAGGGAATGGGGTGACGGCAGCGCTCACTCGTGCGTACACTCAAGTTAGCTCAGGGTCGCTGTTTTTGAATGGATGCCAGTGTCACTTTGAAGAACAAACAGAGCTTTTGGTTCAAAGGATGCACCAGCTGCCACACTTGGGAAAGGGTGTGTGCTTCCCCACCCCCTTTCTGCCCACCTGTGCCTGTCTCTGTACTGTAATGTTCTCGTCGGTCTTTATCCTGTTGTGTGCCTTTCCACTTGTCAGAAAAATAAGAGTCATTTAGCTTTCTTTGGTGCTGCCTGGGTCACGCTGGAGCTGGCACTGTCATGGTTTGTAGTGCTCACACAGTCACAGTATTCATAAAGTTAAGTGCAAACTTGCGTGTAGACTGCAGCAGCGGGCAGAGGCCTGGGTCCTGATGCCACAGCCCGAGGATAACACAGCCTGAGTGACAGCACCTGTCACCCACGGTCTGGGAAAATACAGCTGTAGGTGGCCAATGGCCTAAGCCATGTCCATCTGACTTAACAGTGTTCTCCATCCCATCCAGCGGGCCTCCGCCTAGGTTTAGTATTCTTTCCACTCAAGCTTCGCCCACGGCTACAAAATAGGACTTATGCCTTGGGGTATCTCAGGAAACAGGACGTTTAATGGTAGAATGTGGACAAATGACTACCCTTAGTGAGGAGGCAGCAAGGCTAGTGACTGTGTGTGGGGGGGGGACAGGGGCTGTGTAATAGAGAGCTTCCCAAATTCACTCATCACATGGCCTGGCAAAGGAGGCAGGCCAAACATGACCTGTGGAAAGCTGGCGAGGTGTCGAGTGCTATAGGGGTGCAGCTCAGGAGAGGGCCACGTGCTTATGTGCACAAGGCTCTGGACTCAGTCCTCATCAACAGTGTGTTTTGGCATCAACAGAGGGTAGCCCACGGGTAGGGACCTAAAAAGGGGGGTGGGGATGGGGGGAACTCTTCTATCATCTCAGGAGCTGGGCCCACAAAAGCAGAGGCTATCTCCTCTCCAAGGCCAGAGCACTCCAGGACCAAAACTAGACTGGCTCATCTCATCCTTTCACTGAGGGGAGTGGGAGGATGAACTGGCTGTACAGAAGCGAGGAAGAACCTGCATAGGGAAGTCCAGTGGGGGACTAAAGATGAGAGGAGAGTCTGGGCAGAGGTAACGCCATGTTGGCATTAGCATGGATTAGGCAGGTGCCCAGATGCACACCTCAGGTTTCACCCTTTGGGATAATGCCTAGGAAACAGGAAGAAGGATGGGTGAGAAAGGCTAGCCAAAGGGGCACAGCCAGGCAGAAGAATGGGGACTAAGCTAGAGCCCCCGGCAGCCTGGTGCTTTCCCTTGCCAGCATTCTCGACACCTGACCAGAGGGCGAGAGCTGCCCCGCCCACCTCCACTAGCGCTAAGATGGGGACTGACTTGCCCACGAGTTAATCACTTTTCTGATGGTTTATTTTATTCATCTTTGGTAACAAATGGCTAAAATCAATTACGCTTGCTTTCCTCTCAGCTGATGAAGTTAATTATGATTTGTTATGGTATCTGATATGTAAATGAGTAGAAAGCAGACTCACGTTGGACCGGCTGCCTCCAGGCGGCACAGGATTAATCATTGTGTAGATGTTGTCACTGGAATTTGTTGAATCTGTAGAATAGTGGAAAGCGAATAGTTCAGGTGATTAATTCATTTCTTAATTAAAACAAACTCGTGGCACTTGAACTCATTCTTTTGTATTTTATCACCAAAATTTCTTCTAAGTATCACCATCTTCTGGCTAATTTGTATTTAATGAAGATTCACAAAGTTTTTAATCACAGAAAATTCAACTGCAAAAACCACTCAACCACAAAGCAAGGATTTCAGGGTTCCCTGGGCAGCAGGGCAGGTCCAGCACACGGGACTTCAGAATCGTTCCCTAGGCTTAGCAAGGACACAAGGACACAACCTGTGTTTCCCCTCAGCTCCACCCAGGGAAGGAGAAGGCAGCACGTTATCCAGAACCATTTTGCTAGGCTGAGGGGTAGGGGACGGGGCTGGGGCTGGGGACAGGGCCGCATTAACATACGGAGTGGGTTAACGTGACCCAGTCTGAATGTAGGTCATGCTGCTCATCAATGCTGCAGAGCCGAAGCCGGAGCGGGAGCCAGCTGCGGCTGCAGCCAGCTCCACCCCTGCAGCTGAGCAGATTTCCTTTATGGGGAGCTGGGAGGGGAGGCTCCAGCCACTCCCCACCCAGCCAGGAAAGCCTCCTTAGGAAACCAGCTAGCAGTGTTCTGTCAGGAGCAGAAATTCTCCCTCTATTTTGGGCCGGGTAGGGGACGCGTGCTGCACTCCTTCCGGCTGACTGCAATGCTATTCTTAGCCGGTAGACAGATAATTATGACACTGTGTATATGTGCATGTGTGTTCCTGCCCGCATGTGCATGCCTGCCCTCGCCAGATAGAAAGAAACAGGGAAAGGAGATCTCTTACACAGAGGACCAGAAGCCCCGAGAACCAGAACCTCAGCAGGAGTGTGTGCTGCGTGCTTTAGAATCCTGGTCCCCAGTTGCTAGGCCCCCAAAGACCCTTTTTGAGTCGCCTAAGGCAATGAGACCTTGTCGTTTCAGACCTCAGCTCAGCCTCGTTCTTTTCGAAGCAGTGTATGGGGATGCAAGGCCACTGGGTCCCCTGACTGAGGTCACACCGTGGGTTGTTGGTTGGCAAGAGCTCACAGCCCTTAAATCTCCAGGTAGCAGTAGAGATGGTCCATGCACTGCTCAGGACTTAGCAGAGACTGAAGGGCCAGGATCTGCAGCAAGGCCCTCAGGCCCACATAGCACCCCACTCCTGCTGGACACCCCCCCCAAGCCCTCTTACCCGCAGGACTAGGCATGATGGGGGTTCCTGGAGGGCCGCCACCACCAGGAGGTCCCTGAGATGAGATAAAAGCTGTCATCAGTAACCTGTGGTGATAAGAGGCTTGGGGAGGCCACTACTGCTGCCTGTCAGTCCCAGGCCAGCCGGGCACACAAGCCTGAGGGAGCTGGGCTTATGCTCTTCCTCTCAAGCCGAGAGGCATCGGCGGTGGGGGTGCGCTCACACGTACACCAACCAGAGAGCCAGAGGCACTGAGGGGGATTACACAGCATGCTGGGTAGCCAGCCACTTAGAGGGAGGCCCTCCTGAGGCAAGATCTGGAGAAGCCTGGGCTACCCCAGGCCTGTACAGACCCCTGAACACAAAAGCCCTGGCCATTTGGACCCCAGGTGGCTCTCCTGCCCATCAGTTGCTCATATGCCCCAGATAGTCAAAACCCAGAGCTGCACTTACCACATAGGTACCGGGCGATGAGGAGGAGTATGGGATCTGGAAAGAAGATTTAAGACCCATGTAGTGGAGATGCCTTCCCCAACAGACAAGTACTGTGCCCCTTCTCTTCCAAACTCACCCTGGGGCACACTCACTCTTAGGAGAGGCTTGGGGACCCAGTGACTTAGTAACCTGGTCAGCTTCCAGAGGAAGAGGCCTGAGACCACAGCGAAGCCACAATGCAGGGGTCCTGGCGGTTGGGCTCCTCTCCCCAGTCTTGTGGGGAGCCTGAGAGTAGGGTCCCAGGAGGCTCCCATGTAGGAGGGTGGAAGCGAGAAAAACCTACCCACCCACCCACCGGTCTGCATCCCTTCTTCCCAGCCTGTCTGCAACAAACCCGTCAATCATTCCCCTCAATGCTAGAAACCAAAGCCACGATGCATCTGGAGCCTGGGCTCTCGGCTAGTACCCATGAGCCTCTGCAGGGCAAGACCGCCTCTTGAGGACCCCGGCACGCTGGCCACATGTGGGCTCCACCCACTCGTGCCTTCTCAGAGGCATCGGGCAGAGTCCTACTGTACTTCTCTCTCCCGACATCTTTTCCTGGCGACAGGAGTTTCCTAAAGCCCAGAACCTCTTTCCTAGGAAATGGCATCCCACCAGACCTGTATACTCACTGAGTTAGCACTGTTAGGATTGGGCCAGGGTCTGCCAGCTCCTGGGCCCCTGAGAGAAGAAGAGATGGTTAACATCAGGACAGGAAGTCCTAGTGTCCCAGAGACCAACTGACTCTGGAGTAGTACTGACTGGGTAGTTCCATGGACTCAGGCATTCCTCCAAATTAGATGTACAATTTGTAAAATATATAATATTTGAAAGTTATATATATATGAAAGTCTTTCTGCTTTTCCCTAGGAAGATAAGCCCCAGATTCTCATGTAAAGACTGCAGATCAGGGCTCATTTCTATAGGGATAAAATCTGGGATCAGCTGCTGAAGCTGTGCCAGCCTAAGGAAGTCACTCTGCCTCTCTGGGTCTCAGCACCCCTTGTTGGAGGAGCCTGAAGATCATTCGTGTACCCAACACTGTGCCTGGCACACCTACTGTATAAGGCAGAGCTCTCAGCCTAACAATGAGAAAACTGAGGTCCAGAGAGGCACCAGTGTCTTCCGGGGTTCCAACAGTGGGTGGGGAGGCCACAGGCTCTGAGGCACTGGCCAGGGCCTATTTGCCTTACATGTTAATCCCAGGCATGGCGGGGCCGAGGGAGTTGGGTGGTGGTCTCATGCCGCTGCCGTAATTCTGCAACGATAACCAAGGGTCAGTCTATGAGAAGGAGAAGGGGAACCGGGGAGGGAAGACAAACACAGAATATAAGTGAGAGGGTTAGTCTGTGAAGACAACCTGATGAGAGAGAAAAAAAAAATATATCATACAATCTTTCAGAAAGGGTGGGGACCAAGTGACAGGGACCACAATGACAACAAGCCAGCACAGAGGGGCAGTCACAACAGTCAATGTGTTTTGGGCTTCATCATGCTATTCCCTAAAACGTGTCTGTCCAGCAAGCTGCTGCCAGCCCCTTCCCACAGGCCTCAGCAGTCAGGAAGGCTCACTCTGCTGCCAGGTTCAACCCTGATTGGGGATGGGGTCACATGAGGCTGAGGGAGAAGACAACAGAGGAAACCAGCCCGCCATGCCACCGACCTCAGAATGCCTGGCAGTCTCCTCCACCAGTCATGGGGCCACCCCTTTCTCTACTGCTGCACTTGGACGGTGCACCCATGGAACACCTCCAACTCAACAACCTGGGGTGCCCAACGACCGACAGGAACAGTCAGGGAGGAGAAATGAACTGAACCAGCTGGGCACTGCCCTTGTCGGGCACCTGGGAGAACACGAGTTCACCAGTGCGAGCTGCCTCTTGCTTGGGCACACACTGCTCTCTCACGGTGTCCACTTGTCCTTGTAACAACCCTCTGAAGTAGGTCCCACTTTACAAAAGAAGAGACTGAAGGTCTAGGTGGGAGCAGCTGGCCAAGATCAGCTAGCGAATGGCAGACTAGGGTCCCACCCATGAGTCTTGGATCTTTCCTAAAACCTCTGGCAAGAAGGAGGTGAGAACCAGGGGATAGTGTAGGGTCAGACCAGCACAGAGCTGACACTGGGCTGAAAACAGGCGTCTTCACAAAGAACTGCCTCCCACAGCTCACTACCGAGGGGGGGCCCTGTTCTGCTAGGTCACCCATGGAGGCTTTGAGTCTGAAGACTGCCTTAGACAATACAGGCAGTGACATCCAGCTGCCCGTCAAGGAGTGAGGTCTCCAAGGAGGACAGGCCGCAGCCGGCTCACACAGAGCCTCCCTCACTGGGCCTGCAGGTCAGACGCCCTGGAGGGTAAGCAGAGGCTGCAAGGCGGCTGACCTCGGCTCAACCGCCTGATGTTGACTCCGGCAACGACAGTTCTCACGACTGAGGAGAAAGCTGTGCCACGTGTTTTATGAGTGCCACGTCTAACGGTCACAGCGACTCCCTCGGAGATTATAAATTAGGCGACGGAGGAGCAGAGGAGCTAGGTGCTAGGCTGGGATGAGGGCCTGTTGCCAGTCTCTGCCTGCAGGGTCACGACTGTTTGGTTTATAAAACAGGGACAAAGAGCCTGTGTGCCTTCAGCCTTCTGGGGACCCAAGCTGACTGTGAAGTGTCGGTTTTGGGGTATCCTGAGTGTCAAGGGGTGCATGGTGCCTAGAGACGACAGCAGCAGACCCACCTTAATGCTGCTGTGGAATCATGGAATGTTTTTACCCCATTTTGCCCCTGACAGGAAGCTAGCGCATCATGTTCCATGAGAACCATCTTTCAGGTGCCAGAGCTACCCACCCGCCTTCTCCCGGGAAAGGCAAGCCTCACACTCCAGGGTGATGGAGGTCAGGATGCTACTCTAGCACAAAGCGTGGGTCAAAATAGAGTGGTCATCCAGACTTGTGGCGTGCCGTGCCGGGAGACACACACAGGATTCCAATCCTACCCAGTGTGCTAACAAGGGGGCATCCTGCACAGAGCCACAGCGAGCCTCCCTCATATACGCACAGACCGAGGGGGTCACACCTCCCACCTCGCAGGTGACAACCAGGAAAGGAGGCCCAGAGAGACCAGACCCTGGCCCTAGTAAGCAAGGCAGGAATGGAAGTGGTGCTGAAACCAGGTTCTGGGACCAAGTTTTTCAATCAGAAGCACCAGCTTTTCCAATGGAGCAGGATGATCAGCACCCAGGTTCTGGAGCTGCTGGAGAAAACAGAGGGGAGCTCTCTCTGTCCCAGCTCCTGCCTGCTGGAGGTGATGGGGTACCCAACAGGAGCTGTCCCTTCACCCTCAGGAGCACTGTAGTGACGGGAGGACGTGACCACAAGGTCTCCCTTCCCCGCTCATAGCTGGTTAACAGATGTGCCTGCTGCACAGCTCCACTGGATAGGGTGACATACCTGGAGCCTACAGGAAGAAGGTACCCTTTCTCAAGCCCCTGTCTCCTGTCCTGTGCTAACTGTCTCTTCGAACAGAAGAACCATCTATCATTAGAGGAACCTGATGCTATCCGGGATATCTTCTGGGCAGCCTGACCCAAGACCCGACCCCACAACTTGCTTTAAGCCAGGATGCTTGGAGATAGGATGTTCCCCGGTGCCTCCTGCCCTCTCACTTGGCCCTGGGTGCTCTGCACAGGATAACAGGTCCTTCCGAAGCTCTGTCGGGTCAGTTTGTCCAGGTGGCACAGGACTGTCCCCACAGAATTAAGATTATCCTCTACCTGAATTTGTTAGAACACAGACCAACCAGAATGGTGTTCTGATGCTAGCCCAGCCAGAATGCTAGAATTGCTAAGGCTACAGCCTTGGGTTGGTTAAGGGTCTTGAACCTGCTTTACCCGAGATGACCAGGAGGGCGAAAGATTTAGCTTTGTCTAAGGATTCACTCTCCAGAGCTTGGACAACAGGGCACTCACTACCGTACACTAACATGGCAAGTGCTGCCTCTTCCCCACTGGTTGTTGTGTACAATAAAACCGTCTTAGGCCCTGAAGGCTAAGGACAGGATGATGCCTGGCTGCTCACTCCTTTGGGCTGAAACAGGAAACGGGGTCAAAAACTGGAATGCTGGTCTATCTACACTAGAGGGGTCCCTGGCCAAATCCCGACCTCCGAGCCTCATCTCGGCACAGCACAGCTCATGCAGTGGCGCTCAATTAAGCTGCCCGCCCCCCCCCCCCCCCCCGCCCTGTCAAGGCTTAGGCAAAGAAGGCGAATCGCAGCTCATGCAGAAAGGAAACGGAGTATCCACAGCCACTCTCCTGCCCTGTTTCCCAAGGTCTCGTCTCCTGGCAACCTATTTTGCAAACAGGAGTAAAGCTGAGTCGGAAAAGACCAGTGTCTCCCAGTACCAAGTTCACAACCACCCCTCTTCCATCACTCTGCCTAGGCAGTAGCTTCAGCAGTCAGGGAGTCAGGAAAGTAGCTGGGGAACAAAGGGACTGCCCTTTCCTATGCGAAGCTTTGAGATCTGTAGTCGTTTGAAAGAGAGAGGGTGACACAGGCTCACGTGTCTGGTTCCTAGTTAGTAGACCGGTTTGTAAGGATCAGGAGGTGTGGCCTCGCTGGGGCAGGCACACCTTGTTGAGGTGTGTCACAGACGTGAGCTTCGAAAGCCCACACAGGTCCAGTCTCCCTCTGCTTGAAACTTGCAGAGCAGATGGCAGCTCTCCGCTGCTGCTCCAGCGCCCCGTCTGCCTGCCTGTCCCCGGGCTCTCTACCCTCATGATTATGCAATAACCCTCTGAAACGGTAGGTGGGCAAACCCCAATCAAATATCTTCCCCTTGTAAGCTGCCCTAGTCATGAGGTTTCTTCACAGCAAGCGAAGAGTAAATAAGGCCCCAAGCTTCTTGGCTATATATATCCTACATGATCTTGATGCCTACTTCCTGACTGTTTCCAGCCCAGGACTAAACCAACCCCAGGCCTTCTTCCGAGTATGGGGGTTTCATGCTACAAGGGTCTGGTTTTGGAGTTTATTACCACATCCTATCCAGCATGTTTCAGAGAATATGGTAAAAGCTTCTTAGTGACCCCACGTTGCTGTGGCAAGGCAGGAGGCCAGGGGTTCTGACTCCGGGACCTTGCCTCTTCATAAGAATGCTGGACTGGTATGGCAAGACACCCTGGAGCCAGGAGAGAGACCCAAACCTCTGGAGTACTCTGAGCTCACACTGCTGATATCATTTCGGACTGCTGGATTCTCATCTTTACTCTAGTTCTGCGAGGCTTTTGTTGTTTTAAGACAGGTTCTCATGTAGCCCAGGTTGGCCTCACACTCACTGTGGAGTTAAGAATAACCTTGAACTCTGATTTTCCTCCCCAGTGCTGGGATGCCATCCATCCAGACTCCACACAGCTGGGCACTCTACCGACTGAGCTTCCATTCCCAGTCCTGTCCAGTAAGTCATTTTTCAATTTTATTTTTTGGGACAGAACCAAGGGTCATACGTATGAGAGGCAAAAGGCCAAAGGCCCAACACTACCCTCACTGAACCTTTCTACTGGGCCTAAGAAACTGTTGATAACTTTGCCAGGAAAAGAAAATAAGTCTAGTCAAACCTAAACAGGTAAAGTCCTGCACATTGTTTTAAGTTCTGTTTTTGTTTTGTTTCCCTAGCTGACTTGCTATGTAGTCAGACAGGGTCTCATTATGTAGCTCTGGCTGGCCAGGAAATCACAGAGCTCCAGCTGCCTCTGCCTCCCGGCCTGAATGCTGGGATCAGAGGCGCACGCCACCACACCCAGCAGTTTTAAGTTCTTAATGTCAGAAAACATAAATGTTTCTTCATGGAGCTACCAAGGCCCAGGGATCACCCGGAGCGCTGAGTACCTTAAGTACCCGATAGGAGGGGACACTGTGCTTATTCATCCTAGATGTGGGCGTTGAGTCCCCGCAGGGAAACCAAGATCTCACCTAGCACCGCTCAGACCCCAGGACACACTGAAAAGCCAACACCCCTGTCAAGTCCCCACCAGCAGTGGATACCAAATGGCTCAGGCCAAGGGGACAGAGACCCACTCCTGACTCTTGAGAGAAGATGCTGTACTTTCAAATCTTGCCTGTTGCCCTGTCCAGGGGCAGTCCTGTAGTCGGCTCAGGATGACAGGAAGGGGAAAAACACCAACCGTGGGAGACTAAACCAAGACCCCACAAGTCACGACTGCTGTGGCCCTTCTTCCCTTTAGGATTTGGCGCAGGACTGTCCTAAAACCTCTCAACACCCACTGAAAAGGCAGCAGGCTGGTTTGCTGGGGGATTCTGGGAAGGAACAGACAGTTTCTGGGTCTGTAGGTTTCCCTACAAAGGCCAGAGCCTAGGAGGACTTCAGCCCCAGAGGAACTTGAAACTGGAAGAGGGAACCCAAAGAGGGAGGGTTGGCAAGACCTCCGAGGAGGATCAGAAGCCTGGGGGCAATGAAGCTGGCTGTGGTTTAAAGTGGGTGCCGAGGAACATGGCTGCTCCAAGGACGCAAACGCTCTCATCTGGTAGGTGGCAAAAGCGCCTACTGGAGTCCAGAGACGTCAAAGTGACTCATCTGAGGACACCACCAACACTCACCTGACTTAACCACCACTGAGTCACAAGGCAGTTCTGGAACCCCCTTATGTCTGCTCCACTAGGGGCGGGAAGTGGCTTTGGATTCCTAGAGACCCCTACATCACAGCTTGTGACACTAGAAACCCTCCTTTCCAAATTCCTCAAGCTGCATGCTGGGACACTCCCTCTGGAAGAGTCGGCTACCCAGATGGTTCTCTGGTCATGCCCTGTGCTCAGGTTCTCGGGGGGGGGGGGGGGGGGGGGGGGCCCCCCCCCCCCGCCCCCACGGGTGGGGGGGGGGGGGGGGGGGGGGGGCGTCATTCCCACCCAGCATCCCACATGCAGGGAGGCGAGCTAGAGGCCTGAATGTGCCCTTGTTTTCAGCTGAGAGCCAGAAATGTGGGAGACTGACGGACTATGGGAAAAGGAGAGAAGGCGGGTGCACACGGATGGCAGGGGAGACAAGACAGACAGATGAACAGGTAGCTGGTTACCTGTGGGCCAGGACCCATGGGTCCCATGCCTCGGGGAGGGTTCATTCTCTGCATTGATCCTCCCATGTTGGGGTGACCTGTGTGAGAAAATGGATGTGCCATGAGCTGTCATGGGTAGAGCAAAGAGGGGCCTGCCAATGTTTTGGGCCACCCCACCCCGACTGCACCCTCTCTCTACCTTGTTGTCGTGTGGGATCCATAGAATTGGGCAGCAATGGCTGTGTCCCAGGAACTCCTCCTGGAGGCTGAAAGAGACAGGAGACAAAGCGTGAGTCTCTGCTTATACTGTCGGAGAGGGAGAAGATGCGTCTGCCTGCCCCTCCCCAACCTGGCCATATGGGGCTACTCATGGCCTCTTGAGACGATCCTTTTGAGGTGGGTAGGGTCTGCTAGCTCTGGAAAGCAGGACAGGCCGTTTGTGCAAATGTTAGTCAAAATTGTAGCATCAGGTGGGAGTAGAGTATGTGTGTGTGTGGGGGGGCTGGGCTCTCCACCTGAACCCACACACCTGCAGTCCAGAACAAGGCATGCTCTGGATTCACTCTTCACTCCCACCCAAGGGGCCGTTTTATATCAGCTCTGCCTTCTTTTTGCTTCAGAGATATCATTCGTTTTACGCACACCTCCAAGTAACAAGGACTTAGAGGGGGTCCCTGGTTAAAAACTATCACCAGAGGGCGTTTTACCCTTTAAAAGCGGAAGCAGGAAAGGGGGCCTTCAAGATCCAGGTGGGGTTAACTAGGGTCCAGAGCTCTAAGAGCTTGAGCCTGAAGCAGCAGAGCCACCCAGGCCTCCTAGCTTCCATCTGTTCCCACCGCAGAGGTGGCAAAGCAGCTACTGGAAGAGAAGCAGGGTGATTAAGGGTGGCCCGCTCTTTAAGCACCTGTCAAAAAGAGATAGAATGCTATAAAAAAAAAAAAAAGATGAGAAGTAATTTACTTGGGATGAGGTTATTCCAGTTGCAATGTGAAAAACAAGAGAGCAACAGAGGCTGGGCCAGGTTTCCTAGGGAACTGTTAGGCCAAAGAGGAGCTAGTGACTTCAGGAGGAAAAGCCTTGGTGATAGAGGGCCACCACCCAATGCTTGTGAAGGCTGGGGGCCTGTGATGGGGTCCCCACACCTGACCGCTACTGTAGGGCAACTGAGCGGAGCTTCCCTCCTCTGGCTGGCAGTGAATGCCAGGCATGCTCACCAGGAGGTGGGAAACGAAGGGACGGACCCTCCCTGCTTCCCAGCTTCAGAACAGGAGCAGGAGGCAAGGCCAAAGAGGTTTTATGATGGCCGCTCACCTCCTCTGGCCGGGCTGTATTTCAGGGTCACAAAGTGGTGCTAGCACTGCCTGGGGACCTGGTGAGGCTGAGTCCCTGTACCCCAAATTTAGCCATCCTGACCTCTCTCATTTTCTCCTCTTTCCCCTTAAGTTCCTGAACTATGAGTCACCTAGGCTGGTGGTTTTTAATGGCGATCAGGGACTTGGGACCTCCTAGATCTCCAGTAAAGGCATCTATTCTGTCCAGAGAACCACAATAACAGCTGCTTTTTGTCCAACACTCTTCTAAGCTTCTAAATCTGCTTCGTGCCAGGGGTTTTAGCTAGGGGCATAGGCTAAGGGGTCTGGGAATTACTGTCTTCAGTGGGGCAACCAAGATGGGGATAGGGCCATCTGGGATCTGTAGTAGAGGAGGGAGATCACGTGACTCACGGCCAAGAGAAGCAGGTTACACACTAGAAGGCTGGTGCCTTCATACCTGAGAAGGGAACGTAGCCCTGTAGGTGGGGGCCCTAATCTTGCTGCATGTGTCCCTCAGAGGCCCACCAGGAACAGGAATGCCCCTGGAGGCCAGCCTGTTCTTCTAGAGCCCTCCTTAGAAGTCTCTCCTCCATCCCTACTTCTGCTCTCTCATCTGCGAGGTACCCAAGAAGCCCTTGTTGCTCAAAAAAGCTGGGTTTCTCAATTCCCTTTGTCTAAATCTTCCCCCTTTGTGTTGGAGAAAACAGGAAACAAAGGAATTTGGGAAAGGGAAACAGCAAGGTGGAAGTGATTCCTCCACAGTCCCCATATCCTGGCACTGCGCTTTCTTGCCTCAGAGAACACCAATATAGGCGATTAAACTCCCAGCTCCGGCTGTACTGGCAATGCTGTCAAGCGTTTTTTTTTTTTTTTTTTTTTTTTTTTTTTTTTTTTTTTTGCTAAGTCATTGGAAGAATTCTGGCTAAAAAAATATTTTGGCACTGAGAGAAATCTCCCTGATGATTACATCAGGTTGCACCTGTCCGTCCGTCCTCAGTAAAGACACGTGCCCTTCTTCAGCAGTCCACTCTGAAGGGTTGGACCATGGAAGACCATACAAGCACCCATTTCTCCAGCCTACCCCAAACTGCCAACCTGGATGGACCAAAGGAAGGTGCAGGACCCTGGGCTGAAAAGCCCTCCTCGTAAGCAGAGTACTTTTCTAATTATATGAACAAATGCCACCTTGTTTTGGGGAAGGAGGCAGACTGCTGGAAACCTCACAAATACCCTGCCCCTTCTGCAGTCAGGCTCCTGATCGAGGCATTCCTATAGGGCATTTCTCCCCTAAGAGCAGGATTATATTTACCAGCCTTGGCAATTCTCAAAAGCTTCCAGGGGGAGGGGTGGGAAGCTCATTGTCAACTGACTTCATTAAGAAGGAAGATTCTTTTCCAGGAAGGGGCTGAAGGAAGGGTTAGGATCATTACCACTTTCTCTAGAAGAGCCGGGTTCCTGCAATCCCAGAAGCTGCTGCTATTTGAATACAGGCTGTGTGAGGCTCCCTGTGACAGACAGGTTAAATGCTGGACCATGGGCAAGTTTTCCCGACCTCGAAACCTATTACTCCAACCCTTGGCCTTGCACCTTACTTTCGACTTGAGTCCAGGCAGACCTAGGCCTTAGATGGCTAAGAGGGAAGAGAAAACAAGAACAGGTACTGTACCTGGTTTCCCATTCTGATCGGGGGCCTGGGGCCGCCTGCATATCGCGGTGACATAAAAGGCTGCAATTACAGGGAATTAGTTCAATGACAGCCTGAACTACTGTACGGTGACAAACACAAATGCTTTGCACTTTGCAAAGTCCAGTTTATGACAACTAGTGATCTTTTAAGCTCTCTCTAGTCCGGTAGCTTCTTCCTTCCAGGCAAAACTTCCCTTGGGCAGAGGAACAAAAGATCCACACAACACGTCTCCCAGCCTGCACTGGCTTGTAGGAATCTACTTTGGGTGGAGGGCGGCAGCTGGGACTTCACACAGGACGCAGACCAGTTAAATCAATGCAGGGCAAAGGAGGCCACCTCTGCTCTCCACAAGGGCAAAGAAAACAACAAGAAAAAGGAGCAAGACATCACATCTCCAGGTCTGCAGACAGAGCAGGACACGCGCACACAAGCACACACACACAAGCCCACACGGAAAAACCAGGGAGGAGTGGGGAGGGAGCAAGGACTTATGGGAAAACACGATGAAAAAAGGAACAGTCAGGGACAGCGGGCTCCCTAACTTAATGCAGGGAAATGGGCGACAAAAGCTTTCTCAGCAGCGAGAGTGCACAAAGAAAAGGCCAGGGATGCAGCCTTGGTCACAAACAAATGGTTAACCAAACTCAAAACCAAACAAAAGTGAGAGAGGAAAAAACAAAAAACGTAAAGGCCACTGACAAGGTCACAGAAATAGTTTTGTTTCTTTTCTCTTGGTTTCATATCCAAACTGGGTGGGATGTCCAAGAAATGAAGACTGTATTTAGAAAAATATATATAAATATATTTTAAAGTCAAACTTGTCAATCGTGACTGGAAGGCAATGCTGGAGCACATTTTGATTTTTGTTTTTCCTCCGCGGCTCTCTCCTTCCTCCTGCCCCGCGCCCCCCGGCCAGCGGCCGGCGAGCCACAGTGCGTTTACCTGACTGTGGGGTCCCATCATGCCGCTGGGATTGTGAGGTGGAGGCTGTGCGTGCGGCGAGGGCTGTGACCCCGGAGGACCCTGTGAGGCCAGACAGTAGAGGCAGGTTATAGATCACAGCACATGGAGAAGCGCAGAAGAAGCTTAAAAGAACAAAAATTAAACCAAAACGCAGAGTGGTGGCGGGCGTGCGGGTGGCGGGCTGTGGCTGGCAGGGGTTGGTGGAGCGCTGCTTGGGTCCTGGTTCAATGGCGAACAACGGCGGGCAGGCGGGAGGGAGGGGGGCTGACCAGTACATTCACAGGGGATTCAGAAAAAATAAAAATTAAAAAAAAAAAAAAACAACAAAACAAAACAACAAAACAAAAAAAACGAAAAAATAAAAAATAAAACGAAGCACCTTCATCAAAGCACGCGGGAGCAAGGGCCAGACACAGGCTACTACAGAACGGACTTTGCCATGTTAAATACGCTGCTTGACTCAGACAATGGTGTAGACAGGACCCATGGACCCAGAGGCAATGCCTGCAAGTTATCACCCTCACAGGACACAGGAGGAAGCAGGTGGAATCTCTGCCCTCAAGGAGCTCACAGACTCAGAGACAGGAAACAGTTCATTTTGGGGCAGTGTCCATCAAGGGCCTCCCAGTGGAAGCGGGACAGAGGGAATGATGGACAAACATGGACAGAGGCAGAGGAGCAGGTGGCCTAGGTTCCAAACCGAGGGGGGATACAGACAGTCACGAAGAGTCCGCCTAGTATGGGCAGTGCCAGGGCTCTGTGGTTCATGAATTCACTTAACAGTTCAAACTAGCTCTGTATGGTGGCACCGCTCCTTTCAACCTTCACAAGTGAGAAAACTGGGTCTCAAGAAATGGGGAGACCCGACCACTGCCACACAAGCTCTCAGAGGGTCATGTGGAACAAGCGTGGGGATTATCACTGCTTGGTGGCTCAGTGGGTGGAGGGGCCACTTTCCACATGAGGTGATGGCGAGCCTCCTGAAGTTCCAAGTTGATCAAGAGCTCTGGGCTTCCCTTATCTCTACTCTCAACCGAACATACGAGATGAATTCACTTAACCCAGAGTTGGTCAAACCACAGGCTGTAACTTGCCACTAGGTGCTAAAATCAATGTAATAAGTGCAAACACTAAGAGAGAGAGAGAGAGAGAGAGAGAGAGAGCGCTACATGTATGCAGATTAGAAGACAGCACCACAAAAGCTTCCTACTGTGGGTCACAGACTTTGAAGCCCTTTCTGCCCTCTGGCCCAACAGGCCACTGGGACCTGCATTCAGGACAGGGACATGAGCTATACACCCCAATGCACCCTTCTTCTCCACTGGAGTTGTCCTTGAGTACAGGAAAACTCCAGACGTTCGTGAAGGATAAAGGAAGCAAGTTAGCTGCAGTGTCTGGTTCAGAGCCAGGCAGCCACGCTCTGCTCACTGAGGGGCTCAATGCAGAGCCGGGGGCCAGGGAGAAGTGGGGGTGAGGGTGAGGTAGAGACGACAAAGAGGTGTACAAAAAAGAGAGAGAGAGAGAGAGAGGGGCCAGGGCTGTCCAGTCCAGCAGCCGAGGGCACCACCGGGAACAGACCTAGAGCTTCCTGGCTAAGTGAGGGGATGCTCACTTCCGGAAAGCTCGGAGGAGCAGATGTTCCCCTACCTGCCACGCTACTGATTTCAACAAGTGTGTGTCTTTCTAGCGGCTGCCAGCAACGGCATGGTTTGTTACCATGAGCAATTTTCTTAATTAACAGACATTAATTAGCCATTTAGCAATTTTGCAAGCATTTGTTTAGCGGCTTTCCTAAACATGAATACCACTGTGATAATGGCACTGATTAGAGGGTCCCCTAATTAACAGTACAGGGAAGGAAAATTGAAATCACATAAATTAAAAAGGGAGGGGAAGTTAATGAAGGCGGGACATATTTGCACCTGCAAGTCTTTTGTACCACAAAACTTGGGTGTAATGTAAACAAAACAAGATAATTTGAAGCCAAACCCCCAAAAAAAAGAAAATGAAAAAGAACGGAGGAAGAGAGCTCAAGGGTAAGGTCCAGCTGCCAAGAGGGGGCAAAGGCTTGTCTGCTGGTCCCCTGGCTCCTGGCAACAGGGAATGCCTCCCCCTAACAGTCCTGGCTCCCTCCCTGGTCACACAAATGTGTCCTCGGAGCAAGCAGAGTGTTTGGGGCAAGCCCCTCGTACCTGTGTGCCCACTAGGTAGGAGCTGTCCATAGTGGGCAAGCCCCTTGCACCTGTGTGCCCACTGGGCAGGTCCCCGATGGCTACTTCACTTGCTGAACACAGAAAACAATGTGAAGCACCCACAGGTACTCTCACCTTAGGGCCGCAAGCGACCACTGACCTGAGGCTCACTAACCAACCCCAGGCCTGAAGCCTGGCTAGTGGAAGCAGGCTAGATCCTCACAAAGAGGCACCCTGGGGTACAAGGCTGGTTCTGAACAAGTCTGTCACCAAGATAGAAATGCAACAGTGGCTGCTGGTGAGGCCCTGAGGGCATGTGGTGGACAGGGTCGGAATGGGCACTGAAGGGGGGGGAGGGGTCGGGGATCATCATCAGCTCCCTGTCTCCTTGTGAAGACGAGTCAGAGAATCCTGGTGCAGGAATGACAGAGATAGCCCTGAGAGCAAACCCCATGGCAACCTCAACTCAGATGACAATAAAGTCATCTCCCTGCGGGCACAAACCTCTGGCCTTTCTAGGAGCCTGTGGCTGGGTCAGAAGCAAACAGCTTTCCACTTGCCAGAAGTTTGCTCAAGTCTCCGTACCCGTACCCTACCATCTGCCCTCAGCGTGGACTACGCTGCATGTCTGGGCTGTGTCCTTCAGATTATCTGAAACACCCCTGAAGGAGCCCTACATAACTTGCCACACCCTCAGGAATGACACCTAGCATCACGTTCAGGGAAATCTCTGCTGCTGTGAAGACAGACAATCCGCTGCTGCCTCCATGAGGAGGTGAGTGTTCTACTGCCATTTCCCTAGGCCACAAACAAGCGGTCTCACCTTCCAGCCAGCGTTTTCACAGAGAGCTGCTGGTTGGTTTAGAAAGAGAACCTGATGGTCTTTCCAGTCTGCTTGGGCAGAGCACCACACAGGAAGTAGGACAAAATGGATGAGCAAAACCCTTGCTGGCAGCTTCTGACCTTCACTGAGATGGGAGGAGAGTGCCCCAGTGATCAGTTTCCCAGGCAGGACAAAGTTCCCCATGGACCTTCCTGGGGTTCAGCTGCTGCAACTTTATGAAGAACCTAAACCAGCTGTGTCTAGAAGCCTAGCTGGCCAAGATCCATGTCCTAAAAGGTGCTGGGGTGTTTCTGCCATAAGAGCTGCCCAACACCAGGGTGGAGGCCGGCTACAGCCATCACTTTTTTACAGATTGCTACAGCAATCACTTGTTTACATGCTGACAGACTGCTGTCTCCTTCACTAATGTTCTTCATCTCTAGGGAAGGAGAGTCCCAGATCGGGATGGGACTTGCTCACGACTACCAGGAATCTGCTATTTGCTGAGCTACGCTTCCTAACTCAGGACTCTCTGACACACTATGTCTCTATCTCCATGTATTTTTTTTTCTTTTTAATTTTGTTATTTATTTATTTTTGCATTTTTGAGACAGGGTTTCTCTATATATCCTTGGCTGTCCTGGAACTTGCTCTGTAGCCCAGGCTGGCCTCGAACTCAGAGAGATCCACCTGCCTCTGCCTCCAGAGACCTGGGATTAAAAGGGTGTGCAACCACTACCTAGTTTACATCTATTTTTAAAGTAACAGGGCTCGGTTAAAAAAAAAAAAAAAAGAACTGGGTTCAAATTCTAGCTAGCTCATCACTGGGCCTCTTGTCCTCTCACTGATGAGCAAAACCAATTCTGGTAACCCAGGCATGAGTGGACCTTTGCCTGCTCCAGCTCACTTAACCTTAAGCTCTGCAAGGTAAGGACTACCAGCCATGACACTTTACAAAGCTCACAAAGGGGAACGCACTCAACTGCACTATAGTTTCTAAGTGAGGGAGGCAGGTTTTAGAGCCTGATTCTGGGAACCAGGGATCTGGGGGAGCCCTCTACCCTGCCAGCCCGTGAGCCTGTGTCCAGGAGACCTCCTGGCCCAGTTGGTAAAATAACCCAATGACAGAAAAGGTGGAGAGCTGGCAAATCCCGTAGGACTCTAGAAATGATGCTCAGTTCCCTTTTGCTGTCCAGAGAGGTAAACTGAGGCCCAGAGTGGCTACAGGATGTAGGTCTGCTCTATGAGGAGTTGCAATGGGAACCACAGTACAGTTCTGCAGTAGAACAGACTTATTTCTACCGTCTTCACTGTCTATGTCAGGTGACAGAGGACCTGAGGCGAGGGGGAGCCAAGCCCAAGGACAATTCCTGCTCCTCAGTCTTATGAAAAGGTGGAAAATATATCCATGGCCTGTGCGGCCTTCACACCGCCCCGACCCTGTTAATGGATTTGCCCTTCCCTCACAGCTGGCTCTAGATAGCTGCCTTCAGACACCTGAACCCCCACACGTCCTTTTCTTTCTTTCTTTTCCCCCTGTAATTTCAGCACTGAATAGTGTTATATCCAGCAGCTTGTGAGAGCCACTTAGGCAAGGCCTGGGAGGCTGTTACGGGTGTGATCGAGGCGAGTGTTTGGCCGTTTGGCAGAGCCTTACAGCCTGGATGCTGACGGTTTAGTGAAAAGGCCTTTATGAGCATCAGCATGGTAGGGAGCAGCACTCCCACAGCTTGGAGATCGGAGGTCTTCGCAGAAAAGCACTTCACAACTGCCAGCGGGAGCCCCTCCTGCCACATTCCGGCTATGACCTGTACTGAAGCTTCTGAGAGATGCGCTAGGGCAAATCCTTGACGTGAGTGTGGTGAGTCGAATTCTCTGAGCCTCAGGTCTCCCTAAGAGAAACGGGACCGTCTATATAAGACACTGCGGCAGTGTGACCCAGCTCACAACGGGCCTCTGAGCTGTCTGGCAGGGAAAATGGCAGTGTGGCTTGCTGGCTCTGGCCTGGGTCAGGCTGTCCTGCCTTGAAAGTCCAGAGCCTGAGG